ATGGGACTGGAGCAAAAGTTAGTTCCTCAGCAAGTAGTAATGCCTCTGTGACAAGACCATATGATTCTCAAAACCCGTTTCAAGAGGCAGAAGGAGACTGTGGTAAGAGCCTAAGCCTTAGCCATGATCTAGCAAGGTGCTCAAGGAAATTTTAATGCAGGGGTTAGTGACGTATAATATTAGCCCAGTATGCTGTGCGTGTGTGTGGGATGCTGGGTAACAGGGTTCTGTGCTTATTATATGAGTGCACTGCCACGGAGCCACACCCCAGCCCTTTTTATTTTATTTTGAGACAAAGTCTCAATAAGTTACCTAAGGCCCTACTCAGTTGCTGAGGCTGGCCTTGAATTTGCAATCCTCCTGCCTTGGTCTCCCAAGTTCCTGGAATTATAGGGGTGCACCTGGGTCTTAGTTGCCATTTGCTTACTTTCTAGGCTTGTAATTGAGAAAATTACCTGCTTTTACTTTGCTTTTTTTCTTTTTGTGATGCTGAGATAAAGTACCACTGAGTTGTGATCCCAGCTCTTTTTTTTTCAATATCTTTATTTTGTTTATTTATTTTTATGTGGTGCTGAGGATCGAACCCAAGGTCTCACACGTGAGAGGCGAGCGCTCTACCACTGAGCCCGCCCCCCCCATCCCAGCTCTTGCCGCAGTCTGGCTGGGCACACAATCACGAGCCACCACACAGCTTGTAGATTCAAACAGCAACTCTTTATTCCCGAACTCACACCAGCCGTCTACAATCACGTTCTGGGGAAATCCACGTTCTCTGCCCAAATCCACCTCCACTGGGCTTCTATCTCCAAAATATACTGTCTGAATCCCGTGAGAACTCAAGGGGAACTCAGGCAGCAGGATACGCCCTATTCCCGGGAGGAATAATCTTAAACCTTAAACCTGGAACCTAAACTGGGAACGCCCTAAACAGGATTATCTTAAAACCAGGAACACCCTAATCTGCCTTGGTCCTTGAGCAAGGTCACCTACATTCAATGTCGCTGCAACATGTCAGCAACATGGGGTACGCTGGCAAGGAAATTGTCATACCTACTTGGCTAATGGCTCCCAGCAAGCTCTTAATTTATCTTCTTGAGCTGCATTTGGCACTGAGGCTCCACCAGAAAATGTGCCCCTTAACTGGCCTCTACCTTGAGTGCAACTTTCAGTGATAATCAGTCTTTTTTCTTGATATAGTTTTGTTGTTGTTTTTCCTCCAAATTATTCTGTTATTTTTGTTTTGTTTTGTTTTTTGGTGGGGAGGGTGTTGTCCCAGGGATTAAACCCAGGAGCATTTAATCACTGAGCCACATCCCCAGCCATTCTGATTTCTTTTTATTTTCAAGCAAAATAAAAAGCAAGAGTTAGTTTCTTTCCTAGTTATTAGTATCTTTTATCTGGGAGTCTAGCTGTGTACATTAGGTTATGGTCACATAATTTTTTTTTTCTTTTTGCCAGGTAGTTGACAAACAAGATACCTAGTGTTTCTGGAAGGAATTGCTTTTTTCTGCTTTTGGCATTTCCCTTTGTGCTCATCTAAGAGACTCCTGCCTCACTAAAATGCCTCATGACTGTGATCACATGTTTGTGAAGAAGAGGAATTCATGCATACAATGCCAGCTGCTTCCCAAAGAGCTCATCAAAATTTGTGGCTCTGTGTTCTCTGACCAAAATTTCAGTTCAGACTAGAGTGATTTTCTTTTATCTTTCTGAATAATCTCTAAAGGAACCTTTGGGAATCCTGTAAGATTGAAGCCCCAATATAATCTGTTTGGACATCATTATAAATTAGTCCTCAAAAGATTAAGTAAATCTTTAAATCTCATGTTATAAAATGCTAAATTGCAAATATATTTTTAAACCATACTATTAATATTTTTTTCTAGTTTTCTAATTACAAAAGGGGAAATACATGGTCATGTAGAAAAATGTAATCTCTCAATTGCAGATAGAGTTGCTATTGTTAATGTTTTAGTATCCCCCTGTCCCCAGGACTGGGGATTGAACCCGTGGGCACTTTACCACTGAGCTACATCTCCAGTCCTTTTTATTTTTTTATTTGAGACACAGTCTTGCAAAATTGCTGAGGGTTTTGCTAAATTGCCAAATTGGCTTCAAACATGTGATACACCGGCCTCAATCTCCGAAGTTGCTGGGATTACAGGCATGTATCTGTGTGCCCAGCTTTATTTTTTTGTTTTGAGACAGGATTTCATGTTGCCTAGGCTAGCCTTGAACTTGAGTTCTTCCTGCTTCAGCCTCCCAAGTTGCTGGGATTTTAGGCTTGCCCCAGCACTCCTGGATTCTTCTAGTCTTTTTAATGCACAATGTGATGTAGTTGAGGTCAAATTATAAAGACCATTTAGTACCCTACTAATTTTTTTCACTTAAACTGGAATGCAGTAAAATTTTTTTGTTTGTTTTAGGGTACTGGGGATTGAACCTTGGGGCGTTTAACCACTGAGCCACATTCTCAGCCCTTTTTATATTTTATTTTGAGACAGGGTCTTGCTGAGTTGCTTAGGGTGTCCCTAAGTTGCTGAGGCTGGCTTCAAACTTGCAATCATCCTGGCTCAGCCTCCTGAGCTGTTGAGATTACAGGCATGCAGCACCAGCATTAGGCCCAGCGAGTTGTTTTGTTCTTTAAAAAACACACACACACACACACACATTTTTTCTTTAGTTGTAGGTGGACACAATACCTTTATTTAGTTTTTATGTGGTGTTGAGGATTGAACTAAGTGCCTCACATATGCTATGCAAGCGCTTTTACTCTGAGCCACAACCCCAGCCCCTGTTTTGTTTTGTTCTTAACCCAAAGTCTTTTTTTTAATATTTTTTTAAATTATTGATGGCCTTTATTTAATTTATTTATAATTGGTGCTGAGAATTGAACCAATGCCTCACACATGTTAGGCAGGCACTCTACCACTGAGCTGTAACACCAGCCCTTAACCCAAAGTCTTAACAAAAATTCCTCAATAAATGTTTAATAAAAAATCTTTTAAAATGTTTACTTTTTTATATTGGCTTATTTTAGAAATCTACATCAGGCACCTGATTTATAGTGGCCTTGTACTTTATTTGGAGGAAGGTACGAGTTGAATCAGGAACCAAAAACTCACCTAGTAGTCATTTATATCATACTGAAACAATCTACCATAGTCCATGAGCAGGCCCTTCCTTCTATTTCTCGTAATCTAAACTGGAAATTAAATACAATGACTTCTCTGAAGAAGCTCTCAGACATTTTATGGGACTAATGGGAGCTGTAGAACACTATGATTCTTTTCACCAATAACATCATTCCTTGGAGTGTGCTACCTAGCCCCATCTGTACTACCATCAGACTTTCTTTCTGAGTCTGGTTTTGTGTCAAGAATAATGCTTTAGGGGCTCCGGATCTAGCTCAGTGGTAGAGTACCTATCTAGCATTCAGCCCTGGGTTCAATCCCCAGTAATGCAAAAAAGAAAATAAAAGAATAATACTTCAGACTAGCCATCTCTACCACTGCTTTGCCTGTTCTTAATGACATTTACAGTCTTTCTGTTATTGGTGATCTACAGTGACTTACTGCTACCCTAAGAAAAACCTTAATCCTTTAGAAGTTTTTGTTCTCTAGATCAGTTCTTTTCAATAGAAGTTTCCACAGTAATGCAAGAGTTCTGTATTTGTGCTGTCTAGTTATATGAGAATTCCACAGGTGGCTAATGCAGGGGGAACCGAACTTTTAATTTTAAACTTAAATTGTGCATGTGGCTGGTGGCTACCTTATTGGATAGTGCAACTCCAGATCATCCCAGCTGGTTCTTTGAGTTCCTCTCCTGGGGAGGACAGTTAGATTCTTTAGTTGTTTGTACCCACTGTGCTCTGTTTTGTCCTGCCAGCAGTGTAGGATCAGGAAGAACTGCTTCTATGAGGAGCTTCTGGAAGAGGATGGGACTACTTAGTATTCTCTCAGAATCACATATCTAGAGATTCTCTGGAGGGGCAGCTCTTGGAAAGGTACTTATTAGCAGTTCCATACCTCTGGAAGCTGGTGTAGAGACAGAACAAACATGTCATGATAAAACGATTTCTAAATAATGAGAGGCTTCTCAGGGAGGGGATTATACTTTATGAAAAAAATCAAGTAAAAGGGTTTTTTCTTCCCTAATATATTACTTGTTACCCTTTTTGTACTCTGATGTCATACTCTTGCAACTTCGGCATCTGAAATGCTGCAGAAATGCCTGAGTCATCACCTTTGATTTCTTTTCCTCAATCAGATATTACTATCAATCAGATATTACTATCATATAATCTCTTTTTAGAAATTTGGGGAATTTTCCTTGAATCTTTTGTCTAAGTTCTGCTTTTTATATGTTTCAGTGATTTGTCTTTTTTTTTTTTTTCCTATCTCCAGTTTCATAGGATGCAGTAGAAATGCCAGGGTGTTAGGAGCCCTATTCTCTTTCTTTCCCTTCTTCAGTGACATTGTTTTACTTCTTTGTTAGATTTTAAGTCTTCCATTTCTGATCCGTTCATGGCCTTGTCCTCTTCCTAATCCTTTCTTTAATTCCTAGACCTGGGTACCTTGGCTCTTGCTCTCCTTCATCCCTCTCAAGGTTGGCATCTAAGGCCTTTCTTCCCAGGTAACTTCCCATGTGTGTTGACGGTGTGCTGTCATACGCTGATCCATCTTTTACTCTCTTCCCACAAATTCTCACTGCTTCCTTCAGTAGGAAGGCATGAAGTTCCAAGCTTTGCTGGGAAACTATTCTGCTTCCCTTTATCTTCACAGTAATCCAACCAAGGCATAATCTCACTTCTGAAGACATAGCTGGTACTAGCGCAAGTCAGTAACCCACCCTGCTTCTGAAGCTTTCAGTGAAAACCATTTTAGGTTGATGGCAACCAGGAAACTGCACATGCACTGCTTTCACTGTGAACTGAATTTGCTGCACATTTGGGGAACCACATGGGGAAACTGACTGTGTTTTCTGCCTTCTGTTGACAGAATGGTACACGAAACTTCCAGGACTTTGACTGTCAGGTAAGGACTGTACAAGCACAAAGAGGCTCTGTACAGGATCTCTGCAGTGCCTCTCTTCCTGTGGTGGTGGTCTTGTAGAAGTGGATCTCTTCCCATAGCTAATCGTGACTCTTTAATGTTCTTTTGGTCATTTCGATCAAGTTTATTTAAAATGATTTGCTATCATGTTCAAAAATTGCCTGCCAGGTAGCTTTGTTATGACTGTAGGTTAGTGGATTGAGCTGTCTCTTTGTGATTAAGATCTCCTTTCCTCGAATGATATTGGAAATCTCATTTGTCACAGCTGGCAGATGGCATGTTGTCACCTGAGTGCAGAGAAGGTAGAGCATGGGCAAGTTTGGAGGAGAGGCTTCTCAACAGCAAATTCTTCTCCTAAAACAAAAAGGCAAATTTTTATCAGTACAGAATGAACATTTTTCTTGGTTTTGTGTTTGAAAATGCAGAATTCAACCTGACTCGTTAGTATTTTCCTATGATACAGTTCTTCTTAGTCTACTTTTACCTGTAGCTCTATTGCCAATTTGAAAATCAGTAAAATGAACCAATTTACCTGCTTTATCTGTTAACTGATCCTGATAGAAATGGGAACCTTGTAAGCCTAGGCAGCTTGTCCTTCCCACTTTTGGGATAGACGTCATAGTAGTGACATGAAGTAGACTCAAAGGAAAAAGTAGTAATGAGGGTTCTGAGAAACCAAATTCCTTGCTTCTAGTATTCTACCCATTCTGTATACCCATAGGCAAATAGTATTTTCAAGTATGTATTTTATGTTAAGTACCTTAGAACCTCTATATTGTTAGCATGAAAAGGAAGAACTGATAACTATTACATAGGCAAACCAGTTATAACAAGATAATTTATTGGATACCTACTATGGATTACCTCCTAAACATATAGTTTCTCCAGTCCTTAAAGCAATATTATGAGGTAGGCTTTTTTTTAATATTTGTTTTTTAGTTTTAGGTGGATACAGTATCATTATTTTATTTTTATGTGGTGCTGAACCCAGTGCCTCATGCATGCTAGGCAAGAGCTCTACCACTGAGCCACAACCCCAGCCCTGTGAGGTAGTTTTTATTATCCTTGTTTTCAAGGTAAGGAAATTGAGAATCAGGGTTCATAATTTGCCATTGAGTGGTTGGAATTGAAAAATATCATTCTTCCTGAACCCAATAGCTTTCTTTCTCACCTGTGTGTGTCCCTAGCTGAGATGTTATTAAGAGTTAAATTGTCTTTAAAGCTAGGCTTCCTTGGTAGGACAGATGAGATTCATTGTGGAAGGGGCATACTCATAATATTGTTGTAGATTTCAGAATCCCAGTTCCAAACACCCTTGGTGTAACTACTTGAGACTTTGTATATATAACATAATCAGTCTAGTGCTGTTAGGCGATTATTTATAGATAATGGCTTCTTTACTAAAAAAAAATAGGTTTGGGTTTAGTAGTTTTTGGGTTTAGTAATTTTTAATTCAGTTATGGTTGACTCCTAGGTTGAATCAATTGTGTTTGATATTTGATAGAATTTGTCTATAAGGAGATCATTTGAGAGAGGATGACAATAAGATTCAGGATGAGGTAATCCAGAAATAACATATGTGTAATCCTATCTGAAAGTGTGGAAGCATTGCTTTTCATTAAATTCAGTATCTCTCCTCCAAAAATAAAGAATATAAAAAAATCATATATGTTCACTGCAAAATAAATAAGAAAATGTTAATGTAATAATATTTTGATTATATCCTTTGAGATTTTTTTTCCACACATAATTATAAATATAAGTAAAATAGAGTTGACTATTAAGGACTAAAAATAGCCTGACAAAAATTCTTTCTGTGAATTATACCTTTTAGTTCAGTTCTTCTATTCAGATAGAATGATGGCAAGTGTTTGTCACCGTCTTGTCACTAGTTATGAATGTATAGATTCTTTAGGTTATAAAGAAGAAGCCAGGCATGGTGGTGCCTGTAATTCCAATTCAGGAGGCTGAGGTAGGAGGATTGCAAGTTTGAGGCCAGGTTCAACAACTTAGCAAGACCCTCTCTCAAAATAAATAATGAAAAGGACTAGATGTATCTCAGTGGCAAAGCACCCCAGTACAAAAAGAAGAAGAAATAAGCCATAGACTGTTCTCTTTTTCTCCTTCTGGTGCTCATGAGTGTTCTTTTGTTGCCGTTCTTGTCCATCTCCTTGTTAAAGGCTTATGGGATGTCCTGGAGACAAGGGGCAGTTGGGTCAGAGTTTAGCAACAGGCTGATAGAAGAACAAGGACATAGGAACTGTGATGTGAGAAGTCTAGTTTAGAATGGCCCAGTTTGCCTGGAGTTTCCTAGACATCCTTGGGCATTCTTGGAGACAAAGCAGAACAAATATAAAACCACCATTATCACCAAACGGAAAAACATTTCCCTGGTATTGGTGTTGTCCACTAGCACAGCTGTGTCATTGGGTGAACTGAAGCCATCCTAACCAGGGCTTACTTGGTGTCTTTGTCTTGCCTAAGGAAAATTTTTAAGGAATCTTTGATGATGGCCCCAGGAAATTATCATAGGAAGTTAACCACTAAGCTCACAACTTGAATTTAAACTGCCTTTTTTCCCTCTGGTTTTTGTGTGAGTGTATCTGTGTGTGTGTTTGGTACTGAGGATTGAATCCAAGGCCTTGTGCATTCTAGGCAAGCACCTATGTCTGAGCTACATCCCCAGTCTCTCCCTCTGTTTTTTTCTTTACTAATCAACTACATTAATTTTTTTCAATAATAATTTAATTAAAAGTGTGCCTTTTTCTTGTTTTTTTGATTGTCCTAGTGGTATTGTTGTTATATAGCTCCTCTGATAAAAAAAAAATTAGTTATAATATGGACATGAGTAGTGAGGGAAGGAGAATGGCTCAAAGTGACATACTTAGAATTGATGAGAAAGAAGAGCCTATTGCCGAATGACACAGTGAATCAACAGGCTGTTCACTGTCCATTTAAGTATGTCCTTGATGCTGTAGCTTCTTTGTGAATATGATATATTGCTTAAAAAACAAAACAAAACAAAAAAAAAACCTTGAGAACAATCAAACACAAATTTAAAAAATTCAGAAAAGCATGAAAATAAAAGTTGCTTATAACCCTGCTACCTATAGATGTTACCAGTAGGAATCAGGTTTGGGTCCATGTTCCAAGGAGTTGAAGAATGAACACTGCAAACACCAAGATAAGCAAGCAGAAATTGATTAAAGAGGAGGTTAAGATTCAGAAAGTAAAAACTCCCAAGGAGAGTATGGGAGGGGCAAGAGTGCAGAGGGTCTCTTGGCATCCCTTTTAAAGGCACCTGAGGGCTGGGTGTGATAGGTGGCACATACTTGTATTCCTAACAGCTTGGGTAGCTGAGACAGGAGGAACAGGATTCTCAATAAGTTGCTGAGGCTGGCCTCAAACTTTCAATTTTCTTGCCTTGGGCACCCAAGTAGTTAGCATTACAGGAGTGCACTGCTGTGCTGGACTTGGAGTTATTTTGGTTTTATCCTTTTTGTTTTTGTGGTGCTGGGGATCAAACAGGGTTTTACATATGCCAGGCATACTCTATCACTAAGCCGCATACCCAACCAGGAGTTGGTTTTAATGGAGAAAAAGGCAGATTTTAGATTGACATATTACAAAAGAGGTTTTCAAATGAAGAGTGTGATATATGAGAAGCCTGAGAGTTGTAGGTGGTTGTAAAGTAAAAGTAGATGTCTAAAAGTGTTGATTGAACTAGGCTGAAAGGTATAAGAAGTCAGGGGCAGAAAAGTTGAGGCTAGAGTCAGGGAGAATGAATTATAAAACTTGAAAAAGGAAAATGTGTTCTACTGATAGGCAGAAGGCTGAGTTAATTGGCAGATTATTTTACCATGAGATTAAAAGAGATTGTGCAGATGAACTTTATACCTGCACACAGGAGTAAAGGAGTGGGGGTATTGTATCAAAAAAGTCCTTCATATTGATATATCAGGCAAGTGTTGTAATTCATTGAGGTCCAGGGTTTGATCTCCAACACCAAAAAAAAAAAAAAAATCATATAATAATGAAAACTATACCTAAGACTCAAACTGTAGATCCTACTTATTGGAAACAGAATAAAACTTTATACTGATAAAATCTTACAAGTTTATCTGAATTATTTCAGACTGGCTCAGGAAAAGAAGTTGTAACAGACATGAAGTGATCATCATTTAACCAAGTGTTGAGGTATATGACGGGTCAAAATGTATCATGCTGATAACAGTACATTTAGCTGAAGGAAGAGAACTCAAGAAAAAAGTGAAAAGTTAGATATTCTCAAATAATGGCAATATCCACCCAAATTCTAAACTCCTAAATTCTTAGGATACTGATTAAGATTACATTTTTCTGGGCAGGGATTGTGGCTCAAGGATGGAGTGCTTGCCTACCACATGTGAGGCTCTGGGTTTGATCCTCAGCACCACATAAAATAAATTAAAAAATAAAGGTATTATGTCCATCTACAACTGGAAAAAAAAGACTACATCTTTCAGTGAGGAGAGAGATGTATGTCATGGGCCCATATGATTTCAGGTTGTTTATTAGCCTGGAGAATAAAGGGATCATATTCACAAAGCACACAGCCTTGGAGAAGGTAACTAGAGCCTGCAAGGTGCTACCTTGGGCTACGCCCTTTGAGTACAGGCTCATTGTGGGGTCACACTCTAGAATCCTGGGGCAGGAGATGATGTAACTAGAAAAAGCCTGTAAGACAGATGATAGTTGACTAAAGCAGAAAGGTGGCGACAACTCACTCCCTGCAGTGGCCCGACCATTGAATCAGCCTCATAGCCCAGGTCTCTGCACCTCATCTCTAGATGGCATCTTGTACAGGCTGTTCACGAACAGGTTTGAGAAGGACGAGTGTAAAAATCCCCGGGGAGGTGAGTGCCTCCTTTATCTTCATTCTTTATTCTTCTCAGAACATTTAATTTCCATACTTTTGAAAATGAAGAGGAACATTATGAGACTTTGGCAATGAAGCAATGAAGGACTGCTCCAGAAAGAGCAACAGCAGATCTTAGGACTCTTGGCTCTTTTTTTTTTTTTTTTTTTTTTTTGGTGGGGGGGGTGCAGCGGCAGGGGCACCAGGGATTAAACTCGAGCACTCTACCACTGAGCCACATCCCCAGCCCTATATTGTATTTTATATATAGAGAGGGAGTTGCTTAGTGCCTCACTTTTGCTGAGGCTGACTTTGAACTCATGAACCTCCTGTCTCAGCCTCAGGAGCCGCTGGGATTACAAGCGTGCGCCACCACACCCAGCTTCTTGGCTCTTTGATACTTGGGTTGTTTAATAATTTGAAGCCATATTATGTGGAGGTAGGGACTGAGATCTCCCTAGAAGGTTGATTTTTCTAAGGAGCTAGTTTTAACTCTGAATTTCATCCAAATTATGAATGATGAAAAGTAGTTACCTTGCCCTATTCCCTCATCTATTTTTTTTTAAGTGTTCACTTTTATCCCACCTGTTTTATCTCCTTTTTCCTCATCCTTTTCCTGGCCTTCTTTGGCACCTCACCTTTCACTCCACACACAGAGACACACTGTCACCAATTCCCTTGCCTTGGGGAGGTCCTCTGCTTAAAACCAAAATATAAATTAGTGTTTCTCTCAATTGTTAGTAGCACAGCTGAGGCCAATCTGAATTATTCAAGCAGGACTCTACTGAAGGTTTGGGCATAAACCTTCAGAAACAAAACGGAGAAGTTGTCTTGAGTTCACTTTCAGAATTCATCACCTTCCAGAAAGAAATGAAGTCCTAAAGTTAGTGTCCATTCTTTCTCCAAGATTTTATACTTTATATGTCTGTGAACATATATAATCTATAGTTCTGCTTTTCAGAATACCTGCATAACTGGTATATAATACATATACATCCTCTGCCTCTTGCTCTTACTTGGCATGTGTTTTCAAGATTTTCTGGGGCTGGGGTTGTGGCTCAGTGGTAGAGTGCTCGCCTAGCATGCATGAGGTACTGGGTTCGATTCTCAGCACCACGTAAATGTAAAAATAAAAATATTAAAAAAAAAAAAGATTTTCTGTGTGTTAATGCTTATACTATTAGTTCATTCATTTTTATTTATACTTCATTATGTAAATATATCATAATTCATTTATCAATTTCCCTGTTGATGGATATGTGGGCTGATTTCTTCTCCACCAACCGTGTCACTGAGGATTGAATCCAGGGACACTCTACTACTCAGCTACATCCTCAGTCCTTTGTTTATTTTTAAAATTTTTTATTTATTTATGTGGTGCTGAGGATCGAACCCAGTGCCTTGCATGTGCTAGGGGAGCGTTCTATTGCTGAGGCACAAACCTAGCCCCCCTTTATATTTTTTTATTCTGAGCCAAGATCTTGCTAAATTGCACAACTTGACCTCAAAATTGCAATCCTCCTCCTCCCCCTCCCAGAAAGAGTGTATGGGGTTATAGGCATGTACCACCATGCCCACCTGTTTTTCAAATTTTTTTTTACATAAGCAAGATTGCAAAGTACATCTCTGTATATGACTTTTTGTATGTGACCATGTTTGAGAATTTCTTTAGTTTATACCTGAAGGTAAAATTGCTGTAGGGTAGGCACTTCTTACCTTCATTAGAAATTACCAGATATGTTCTCCAGGGTAATTGTTCCAGTGTACATACCTACCAATATGTATATACCTACCAATATGTATATGTATATGTGAGTTGTTATTTTTCTACATTCTGTGTAGAATGTATGTGTATTTGACAACATCTCATTGAATTTAATTTGTACTTTCCTGGCTGCTTAGTGAAGTTTAATGTCTTTCTTAATTGTCTAAATTTTTTTCATAGCACTTATCACAAGACATTATTATGGATTGGTGATTTGTGTATTCATTGCCTGCCTCCTAATCTCTGTAGAAGCGGGAATCGCACATCTTTGGTTTGCTGTTTTATTCTCAGAGCTCAGTCCAGGTTCTTTCATATAGTAGGAGTTTAGTAAATAAGTAATGAATAAACCTGGAGCGGTTCCCTCAATAGCTCTAGTATTACTATAAGAGAGACACTCATACAGTAAACAAGGATTTGTGTCTTTATATTCCTCCTATCCAAACCCTAGGCTTTATTGCTTAGCCAGTTCACTGTACATGATTCTGTCCTTCATTTTTTTCCCTTACTCAAGCCTTGAATAGGAGGGATCAGTAACAGAGTAACAGACATATTAAGTCACACATGGCTTGATTTGATAGAGTTATTTTCTATTTGAGCTTGAGGCCAGTGATTTGAGATATCCTGATATCCACTTAGCCTGAAATTGTCTTCCATTTCCCACATCAGAGAAGAAGCCAAAGCTCTGATGAGGTTCATTATTAGATAGGAAATTAAGCTGGAAGCCATTTGCGTTTGTTGGTATTCTTATTGACAGAGTTAATCTTATCTAATATAAAACTTTCTGAGATAGATGCAGACTTTATCAGTGGAAGTTCACTGGGTTAGGCATGGCATTATTATTTTTTTTTTTTTTTTGAGAAATAAAAGTTGGAGAAGACTAGAATAAATATGACTTAACTTTTCAATAGTCTTTTTCTTTTCCATCCCATCATTCTTCCCCTCCCCCCATCCCAGCAGCATGGGAGATTGAACCCAGGGTTGCTCCACCACTGCCCTATATCCCTAGCCCTTTTTATTTTGAGACAGAATCCCAATAAGTTGCTGAGGCTGGCTTCAAACCTGTGATTCCCCTGCCTCAGCCTTATGAGTCAGTCGTCGGGATTACAGGTGTGAGCCACCATGCTCTACTCTATCCCATTATTCTTAGTGCTGCGCCCTTTCCCAGCAGCACTGATTACTTCCCTTTCCAGCTTATTTCAGTTCTGGAGCTCTGCTCTGGCTACATCTTAAACTTTACTCATTGCCTTGATTAGGATCCTGTGGGATCTAGGAAACATCCAATCTGGCTTAAACCAGAGGCAATCCAGGGATGCCTCAATATTGCAGAGCACATACAGAAGCAAGAACCAGGATTTAGCATGGTGGAAATGCCTTCTAAAAGCTCCCACATTTACTTATCTTTTCAAGAAAAGAACCAAGCTGAGGATGAAATTTCTTAATCCTAATTACAAATTTCTATGGGAGGAGAAATTATGGCCAAAGGTTGTGTTCTACAAACTTGGCATCTAAGAACCTTCCTTCAACATGCAGAGGACACAGAAGGACAGCACCCAAGAAAGGACAGAGATTCTAGGTAGATACACCCATAGGTCTCTACTGAAGTTACCCATAGCTGAACATGTGTTCAGAAGCTTTGAAGCCTCTGACTTTTTAATCCACCAGTTTCTTCATATCAGTGTTTCCTTAACTTTTCTTCCACCAAGTCTTACTTGGCTCCTTCTCCAACTTGCTGATCTCTTTCCCATAACCAATTGCAAATGTAAATGTATTCTACTTATTTGTTTGCTTATCTGTTTGGAGGATTAGAAAATACAAATACCATGTATAATACAGTATCTTTCTGGTATGCTTATAGTTCATTAATGTGTCCTGCCCCAGCTAATAGGAAATGGCAGGGAAGCAGGTATTGTGAAACGTGTGCAAACTGGAAAGTTCATTTTACCTTTCCTGAGACCTTATATTTATGTTCTTTTGTTACAGGAACATGACATAGAAACAACTCATGGTATGGTCCATGTCACTATAAGAGGTTTACCAAAGGGAAACAGACCAGTCATCCTGACCTATCATGACATTGGGCTGAACCGTATGTATTTATTTTATACCTTTCCTCTTCATCATAATACTTCACCATTGTATAAACAAAAATATTCTAATAGAGCAGAGATTTTTTTTCCCCCTCTGTCTTAACCTTCCCTCTGTATTGTTATATTCATCAATGGGAGGTTCAGGTTCCTGTGAAGTGTGCAGAGGGATGTTTTTTGGAGAATACTTTATATATGCTTTTGTGTCCTAGCTGCTTAAGGATTGAAGAGAGTGCAATGAAAGAAGAACATTTATTTTTTAAGTCTGTACTTTGATGTTTTTCATGTTTCAGGTTAGAAAATCTAGACTGAACTTAACTTGGTTGTAGGCATTTCAGCAAATTAATAAATGTGTTCTTTCTACAGCTTGTTATTAGTGACAAATGAATTTCATGTTTATACTTGGGTCCTACTCCCAAGATTATTACATTTATGTGAAAATATTCTAAAATCTGAAACACTTCTGGTCCCAAGCATTTTAGATAAGGAATAGTCAACCAGTAATATAAGATTCAGCTCTAGTCACAGGTACAATCTATATAAATGTGGTTTTTTTCCATTCTTCTTCCACTGGTAGGGCTTTTGTAGCCACCAGCATGAGAAATAATTTAAGCTGTTATACTAAGAGGGTAGAAATCGAAGCAGCAGAACACTCATCCCCTAGCACCCTAGCAGTTTTGGCAAGAAGCTAACTCCTCCCATATGGTAAATGTAAGCAGCTCAAGATACTCACTTTAGCCAGGCTCTTGGGGTATAGTCAGTGTCTCTTTATCAGATAGGGGAATAAGGTGCATGAAAAACAACAGCACTGTGTATATGAGATTATTGGGTGCAACACCATGAAACCAGCATCTCTCCACATCTCCTTTTTGTAGATATTGTGTGGGCTTCAGAATTACTTGTTCTCAAATCATCGAGATGTCTCCTGTTCACCCTTTAGGGCAGCTTGAATTAGATGGTTTGTTCAGACACCTCACTTTAGTGGAATGTGATTAAAAGAAAATGAAAAAGAACACTGATACAGCATTGACTGAGGAGAGAAAAATTGGAGAGAAATGAAGAGTATGTGATTCACAGGGATTTTTATCTCGTAGATAAATCTTGTTTCAACACGTTCTTTAACTTTGAAGATATGCAAGAGATCACCCAGCACTTTGCTGTCTGTCATGTGGATGCCCCAGGCCAGCAGGAAGGTGCACCCTCTTTTCCAACAGGGTAAGGCCATAGGCAAGACCTTTTGCAAGACATACACTCAGAAAAGCAAATGACTGAGTTCTAGTGGGAGCAGAATGTATGCTTCTTTCCCATTGATTTTATGACAGCCTAAGGTTATACTCCTAACCCACTGTCTTCATGTTTTTTTCACATTGATCTAAAAGAACTGTATTTATAGTCTCTTGAGGGAAACTGCATGTTTTCTCATGTTCAGGAATAATTCTCCATGGCAGGAACCTGCTTACCTATAATCATAAGGCATAAGAGTCTGAAAAACTCACTTATCACTGTTTATCTGTCCCCTTCCTCATCTGTTTTAAATTTGTCATTTTTGTGTCTGTCCCTGAAACTCCCAACTATCCAGGTACAACCTCAGATCCCTCTGAGCTTCCCTGGGAGCACTTGCCCAGTCTTAGCTCCTTGTCTAGTGGTAGAAATTGGATATCCATGTAGCCAGTTACTCTTAGAGCTGCCTTGACAGATGGAGGTGCCTGCTTTGTATGGTGGGGTCACAGTGTTCCCTGACAGCGTGCCCAGTTGGAGGACCTTGGGAAAGGGAGTGGGAGTACACACTGTGAAGTGCTTATTCTTCCCCTCTCTGCATCTCCAGCACTGCCTTTGGCCATTGACTGCCATGAAGTAGACATTGCAAACAACTGATCGCTAGCACTTGTGTAGAACCCAGTGTTCCATACGCTGCTTTGGATAATTTATGTTTATTAACTCACTTGATCCTCCCAACCCTCTGGAATAGTTTTACTTTTATTCCCATTTTACAGGTGAGGAAACTGGGGCCCAGAAAAATTAGTAACTTGGCTAAGGTTGCATAACAAATGAGTTAGCATGGCTAGGACTTGAACCCAGTCCATCTGGCTCCAGAATCTGTATTGACTGTTTCCAAGTACTTTTGTATCTCAAATGCAAACCAGCTAGTGATCTTGTTGACACCCAGTGGTTTGGATCCAGTCCTCTTTTTTTGTTTTGTGCACAAATGGTTTTAGAACATATCATCCCTTAGAGTATTCAAGCAGAGGCAGAAGAGCAGATCCCATCTCATATTGGAAATTATCTTAAGATCTCTTTCATCTCTGTATCTTGCTCCTTAATTTTCTTGGAGACCTGCTCTGGGTCTGTTCCTGGACTTGCCTGACCATTTTAAGACCAGATGGTTCATATCATGAAAAGCAATTAATGTTATTCTATGCCTAAGTGAAACAAACACTCATAACTAAGGAGCCCAAGATTTATAACTGTATGCCTAGACCCAGAAAAGTTTTGTTTACCTTTGCATTTAATGACCTGAATATAAGCAGCACTTTATGACTACTTAAATTCAGAGCTACTTCCTGAATTGACTCTTACTGCTGGAAGTTAACTGAGCTTAGATCCCATTGAATGATTATTAGGAATTTGAAAATAATATCATAAGAGAAGACCATATTGCCAGGTTTTTTGTTTTTGTTTTTTTCCCTTTGGTATCGGGGATTGCACTCAGGGGCACTTGGCCACAGAGCCACACCCCCAGCCCTACTTTGTATTTATTTAGAGACAGAGTATCACTGAGTTGCTTAGCACCTCACTTTTGCTGAGGCTGGCTTTGAACTTGTGGTCCTCCTGTCTCAGTTTCCCAAGCTGCTGGGATTACAGGCATGAGCTACCACACCCGGCTATATTGCCAGTTGTTTACATGTGGCTTCCTCTAGTGCCAGAAACATGTGGATTCTTTTTTTGGTACTAGGGATTGAAACTTGGGGCACTCTAACACTGAGTTATATCCCCATTTTTGTTTTGAGATAGGGCCTCATAAGTAGCTGATACTGGCCTCAAACTTGTGATCCTCCTGCATAAGCTTCTCAAGTCACTGGGATTACAAGTGTGTGCCACCATGCCCTGTTAACATGTGGATTCTTTTATTTTTTTCTTAGCATGGCAGTCATAGAGAATTATACAATATGCTGCAGTCATTTCCAGGCACCTCACCTCCTTTGAAATGTGTTTCTCTAAGACTACTGCATTATGTTTGCTTTTCTAGTAACTGGGAACTGTGTGGGTGCTTTTTAATTCAGGAGTTATCCTTCTGGATTTCAGGTACCAGTATCCCACAATGGATGAGCTGGCTGAAATGCTGCTTCCTGTTCTTACCCACTTAAGGTAGGTTCATCATACAGCCTTTAACTATTTATTTATTTATCTATTCATTCATCCATTTATTCATTCATTTTGTGGTGCCAAGGATGGAACCCAGGCCCTCATGCATGTTAGACAAGTGCTCTACATTGAGCAATACACCTAGCCCCTTCACATTCTTTTTGTATGTCTTTACTTTCTACTTTGTTTCTATTTCAGCTAATACAATGATGAGCAAACAGAATACCCCCTATCTTCATGGAGATTAGTTGTGGGGGGGGTAGTTAACATGTAAATAGATAATTCTAATAAAGTGTCATAAAAATGGAATGAATAGAGCTTTTATAGCTCAGTGGTAGAGCACTTGCTTACCCTGTCCCAAGGCCCTGCCTGGGTTTAATCCCTAGCACCTAAACAACAGCAAATAGAAACTAGTGGAGGTATTGTGATAAAGAGAAGGGTAGGATCCTCATAAACAAGGCCAGTTAGGGAATGCCTATCTAAGAAAAGTCATGTAAGCTGAAACCCAAGAAGTAAAAAGAAGCTATCTAGATGGTGTGCCAGAGCAAGAGGATTCCAGACAAGAAGAAGAATTATAAGAGCAAGTGGAAGAAAGATACAGTGAAATTCCAGAAATAGATAAAGGCCAGATTACATAGGTCTAACAGATCAGGTAAGGATTTGTAATTTTATTCTTAAGTGTAAAGCAAAGAAACTGAAGGATTTTAATCAGAGGAGTGATATACAATTTACTGTTTTAAAGTAATCACCCTGATATGTGAATTGTATATACATCATTAAAGCTGTTTAAAAAATGTTTCAAACAATTACTCTTGCTGTAATAGTTTGGACTATAACAGTAGTTCTGCCAAGAGAGAATGATAGCTTGGTACTAATTGCTGTTGGAGGATAGACTGAAATGGACAGTAATAAATGGAAATATTCTTGGGATGCACTTCATAGGATTTGCTGATGGGTTAGATATTGAGGTGATAGGACAGTGAGGATATCGTGCAAGGTTCAGTCATATCTCACTTAACCATTAAAAACTTCCTTGAAATATGAATGACAATAAATGCCGGCAAGGTTGTGGAGAAAAGGTGCACTTTGTACATTGTTGATGGGACTGCAGACTAGTACAACCACTCTGGAAAGCAGTATGGAGATTCCTCAGAAAACTAGGGATGGAACCACGTATCCCACTTTTTGTTTTCCCAGAAGATCTAAAACCAGCATGCTACAGCAATACAACCACCTCAATGTTTATAGCAGTACAATTCACAGTAGCCAGCTGCCCGACAACAAATGAACGGATTAAGAAATTGTGTTGATATATACAATGGAGTTTTACTCAGAAAAAAGAATAAAATTATAGCATTTGCTGATAAATGGATAGAAATGGAGAATATCATGCTAAATAAAATAAACCAAACTCAGACACTCAAAGTTAGAATGTTTTCTCTCATCTGCAGAAGCTAGATTAAAATAAAGGAAAGGTAGGGATCGGGGGACTAGGGTTGTGGCTCAGTGTTAGAGTGCTTGCCTAGCATGTGTGAGGTAGTGGGTTCGATTCTCACATATAAATAAATAAAAATAAAAGGTCCATTGACAAATATTTAAAAAGGGGTGGGGGGCAGCTGGGGTTGTGGCTCAGTGGTAGACTGCTCTCCTACCATGCATGAGGCACTGGGTTCGATCCTCAGCACCACATAAATGTAAAATAAAGATATTGTGTCCACCTACAACTAAAAAATAAATATTTTAAAAAAAGAAAGGATGACCTAAGGAACCAATCAAATATAAATTAATAGATGAGCAAAAGGAAGTCTAGTAGAGCAGAGAAAGGAGAATGGGAGAGGGGAGGGAGGAGACCAGGGAAAAGAGGAGGGAAAGGTGAGGGATGATGAATTAAAGTCAGTTTCCATGCATGAATGAGTTTGTTGGGAGGAATCCAACAACTGTGTATAATTATTAAACTAAAAAAAAAAAGCCTCGAGCCTGATGCAGTGGTGCACACCTGTGATCCCAGCAATTTGGGAAGCTGTGGCAAGAGGATCGCAAGTTAAAAAGGAAACTAAGGCTCAAAAAGTTGAAAATTTTTGCCCAAATTCTCACAGATAGTCAGTATCAGAACCCAAATATGAATCCAGAATTATTCTTTCCATACACAATGCTACCTGCTAATGAAGTTGACTGTCCGTTTGTCATTTGTCCGTCTGTTCCATTCACAGTCTGAAAAGCATCATTGGGATTGGAGTTGGAGCTGGAGCCTACATCCTCAGCAGATTTGCAGTAAGTACATGGAGGATTAGTCTCAATGCCCTTGAGACAATGCCTGGATCACAGCTATTACTGCTGTGTTAAATGACCAGGCAGTGTTCTGGGTCTTGTGTTAGTTTTTCTGTAAATGATATCTCCAAGTCCAGTTTTGAATAAAGCCTTGCTTTGTACTTGTAGAACATCAAAAAACCTAAATGAGAGCAGTATCTCATCTGTAAAAAGTCCTAGAAGCAGCTTATGATAAAATTTTTATAGCCATTAAAATCAAGTTTAAGAAGAGCTTATAATGACATGTGATTTTCTTTTTTTCTTTTTATTTTTTTGTAGTTGTAGATGGACAGAATGCCTTTATTTTGTTTTGTTTTGTTTTGTTTTGTTTTTATGTGGTGCTAGGAGTGAAACACAGTGCCTCACACATGCTAGGCAAGTGCTCTGCCACTGAGCAGCATCCCCAACCCTGTGATTTTCATATGCTATAATGTTACAGAAAAGTTAGAATACAAGTTACATGGACTGGGGATATAGCTCAGTTGGTAGAGTGCTTGCTTTGCATGCACAAGGCCCTGGGTTCTAATCCCTAGCACCACACCACCACCACCACCACCACACACACACACACACACACCCCAAAAAAAAAAAAAGTTTCATAAAATTTATCATAAGTTGAGGAAAGGACTGGAAGGAAATTACCAAAATATTAACAGGCGTTGATGTATGGCAAATAATACAAGATTTTGTTTTCTGCTTTTTATAATTTCTTTGTTCGTCAGACTCTACAATGAGCCTACTCAGAAGGAAAAAGTAAGCTGGGGAGTTTTGAGTTTGTAGGGAAGTATTCCTTTTTAAGGAACTTTTCTGAAATGGCTCCTGGTCATTGGAGTCTTTGGGGATGGCATGACCTATTCTGGGGATTTCATAAAGAACTTCAGAAGCCCCTATTGGAAACAACTCATCACATTTTAGATGAGTATGAAACAACCCATCCAAGCCTGTACCAAGTAGTTTCAAGGGCATTTGCCCAGCAAGGAAAACCTACCATGAGTTGAATAACTACATTGTGCTGTCCTCTGCTGTAAAAACAGAACACCTGTGTTCCTTATAAATTGTGGCAAAGATCATTCAGTAGCATTTTTAGAAACTGGTTTCCAGATGCTAAGTCAGATTTCAAGAGCTACTTTCCATGTATTTTCCTGAGTACCTCTCTGTAGTGATACTTTCAAATACAAGGCATTATAGCATGATTTAAATCAGCTATAGCTGGATTTATAGCTTAGTGGCAGAGCGCTTGCCTATCTTGTACAAAACCCTGGATTCAGTTCCCACCACTGTAGAAAAAGAAAAAATGTATTAGCTAACTTTGTCTCAGATGTTTTAAAAGTGGAAGTTTCATACTCTTGTGTTTGTGTCACCCTTCAGCTCAATCATCCTGAGTTAGTAGAAGGCCTTGTGCTCATTAACGTTGACCCATGTGCTAAAGGCTGGATTGACTGGGCAGCTTCCAAAGTAAGTGCCATCTGCTCATCTCTTGGAACCTTCTAAAAACAGCTTAATTTTTTTTTCATTGAGCTAGATACACAATTAAAGACAAGAAATTTAAAGTATATACTTTGTTAAAGTTTACATATGTAATCGCCACCAATCAATGTATACAGATGATTACCAGCTCCCTAGAGCACTTCCTTGTCCTTTTTTTTTGGTACCAGTGGTGGTTAACCACTGAGCCACATCCCCAGAATATAACTCAAACTAAAAAATAAACTCAAAAAATAAAAAGGATTGGGAATGTAGTGGTAAAGCACCCCTAGGTACAATCCCTATAATAATAATAATAATAACAATAATAATAATGTTGTTATTCAGCTTTTTAAGAAAATTTCTCATGTTAAATGAAAAAATGGACATAAAACCATATAATATTCCAATTTTGTTAAATGCATATATGCATAAGAGGGAAAATATGTTACTAGTGCTTATATCTTTGGCTGTTAATATTATAAATTTTCTTTCATATTCTCTATTTTCCTAATTTTCTATAATAAGCTATATTACTTTTATAATTATTTAAAAATATTCTACCTCCCAGCAGACCATCCCTTCCTACATTTTAGTTCTGGAGAAGCAATGCATTTCCTAGATTTGGATGAAATATATTAATGATGCTGAGAAATTCTTTCTCACAGCCTGATTTATGTAAAAATTTGTTATAGTTCCTATCAAGTATATAGGTATATCAGCACTTACCTGAACATTCTCAATGTCAACCTGTTAAAATTCCTGTTAAAAAAAAGAAAATCACAAGTGCAAAATTCCTGTTAAAACTCTGCAGATTTATTAATTTTTATGAATACTTACGAATTAGAAAGATTGGTTACTAATTCTGATTATCTTTAATTTATAATCTGTGGATTGCTGATTACCCACATGAAGATTTCAGAACTTACTTATTAATCTTTCTGGGACTATGTGATCCTGTTCACCTGTCTAGTCTGTCTCCCTTACCACCTATCCCCAAATCAGTTTACTGATGATCTAAGACTATAGTAGAAATTTCACCAAAAAAAAAAAAAAAAAAAACAAGAAAAAGGCTGAAAAGGGGAATCAGCAACATAATTTGAGTTGGAAGTTTCTCTGAAAATAGACTAACAGTCTAAAGGTTTACACAGATTGCTGTGTTTGTTAGGCCATGAGGTGCATCATTTTGAAATGGAGAGAATTGGGAGAAAATGTTCAAAAATGCAGGAACATTTTGTAAATTTAGCCCATTTCCTCCCACTCCCTGAAATAAAGATAGCTAAACTGGAGGGAAGAAAAAAATTCGCTTTTGTCTCTTGGATAGTTTGGGAGTAGTTGTAAGTTGATTCTTGTCCTTTACCAATCCAATGTAAATGCAGAACTTCAGGCAGGAATGAAGTAGCAAATACCCATGAGTTCCAGATCTCAAGTTTTCAGAGAAGGACTAGCTAGTGTTTCTTCCAGCCTTCTTGCATTTCTTTTTCTTTTGAGTTGAGGTCTGGCTATGTTGCCTGGGCTGTTCTCTTAACTCCTTGGCTCAGTGATCGACCTGTCTCAGCATCCCAAGTAGCTGGAACAATAGGTATTAGCTCCAACAAACCCAGCCCCAGCTCCATTTCAAAGCAAGCTCTATTATTACCCTGGAAGGGAAACTTAGGTTGTTTTTTGTTGTTGTTATTGTTGTTTTGGGGGGGGTCTTTTTCTGGGTTTGTTTTTTTTTTTTTTTATCTCATTTCTTTTTCTTGTGTTTCTTTGAAACCACCATCTTATTAAAATGTATGCACTGAATTGTCATTGAGGGAGGATAACATATGAACATATGTACAGTAAAATACACTAACCCTAAGTGGACAGCTTGGTAAATTTTTACATTTGCTTATTCCCTTAACAGAGTTTTTAATCTTTTTAGCTCTCAGGTTTGACAACCAATGTTGTGGATATTATTTTGGCTCATCACTTTGGGCAGGTAAGTGCCTATGCAGTCAGAACTGGGTTCATTGGCTTGCATGTGAAGCCTAATTATGTGTCAGGAAAGAAGAGATACCTTAAAAGTTATCCTTGCTGATAACACAGGGTAGTCTGAGATGCATGTAGCCCTACAAAGGCCAGTCTTATGGGGACGCATTAATTCAGTACCAATATGGTTCTTAGCATTTGGAGAGATGAGAAAAAACAGTGTCTCCCTCCACCTGTCCCCTATAAGTAGCATGCCATCTGTTAATGTTTGACAACATCTGTGCTTTACCAAACATCTTTAGAGCCAGCAGAGAGGGTCTGGGAAAGGCTTCATAGAAACACAAGTTTCCAAAAAGAAAGAAATCATGAACTATTATTGCTACAAGAACCTAAGAACCTTAGAAATTATTTTGTTTAGTCCCATGAAATGATGAAGAATCTGAAGTCTACAGAGGAAGTAGCATCATGCGCATAATTGTTGGGTTAGGGAGAGAGGTCACTGGCTAGTGGGAGACCCCAGACCTCTTTTCAAAGGGAAAAGTGAGGTGACCCATGAAGGGGTCATGAACTAAATGAGCAAAAACAAAATAGAGCTGTGAGGTGCCTGGAGTGGAGAGAGAACAATAAAACCAGGGGTGATGTGCTCTAAATTGCAGTCTGTATAGCTAATTCTAAATGCATCTGAAAGAAAGTGGTAGATGGGGAGAAAATAAGCATTTTCTTATTTTACCTACAGCTCTTCCTGGGTTCCTATAATGGGTACAGTTGTTGTCCCATTCCTTCACTAATTATTTATATTTCTAAGCACTTAGATAAATGTTTTGTTTTGTTTTATTTTATTTTGCAGTACCAGGTTCAAACTCAGAGTTTCCCACATGGCTAAGCAAGCCAAGCTACATCACCATCACTTTTTTGGTACTAGGGATTGAACCCAGGGGTTGCCATATCCCCAGTCTTTTTTATTTTTTATTTTGAGACAGGTCTCATGAAGTTGCTGAGGTTGGTCCTGAACTTGCCATCCTCCTGCCTCAGCCTCCGAGTCTCTGGAATTATAGGTGTGCACCACTGTGCCTGGCTCCCAGCCATTTTTATTAATTTTGAAACAGGGTCTCACTGAGTTGCCTGGATGAACCTTGAACTTGCATCTTATTGCCTCAGCCTGTTGAGTAGCTGGGATTACTGGCATGCATCACTGTACCCAGCTTTCTTTTTATGAGAAACAACAGAACATAAACACACAAATAAGGAAATTAGGGTTCGGAATGATTAGGTGACCTAGTTTCCCAGCTAGCACTTGAATCCATAATAGGTTCTTTGGTGCCCCCTTCTGACAGAGAATATGACACCACACTACACTGAGGCAAATGAAAAGATTTTAGCCATTCGTCCTAGCAGTGTATTAGTAGTTCCCAGGCCTCACCCCAATTCTCATTATGCACAGTGAGAGCTGGCTTTTGCTATTGAAAATGCAAACCAAATAAATGGGCTTGTTCTGTAGCTCAGAAAGTTACTTGTGTCTTCTTTCACTTGTTCTAGGAAGAATTGCAGGCCAACCTGGACTTGATTCAAACATACAGACTACATATTGCCCAAGATATCAACCAAGAAAACCTACAGCTCTTCCTGGGTTCCTATAATGGGTACAGTTGTTGTCCCATTCCTTCACTTAATCATAGAACAGGTCTAAAGGGATAATGGACTTTTAAGAGAGGGGGAAGGAAAAATAAATGACTTCTCCCATAATTTTGTGATGGGGTCGACTCCATGCTGTTTCAGTAGAAAAGGAAGTGCTTTCAGGTAGATGTGAAAAAAGCTTTGAGGAACATTGAGTTAAACTGGAAGACATTTGGGACATGTTCAAATACCAGTTGTAGTTTCAAGATGTTTTGAGGTATATGGAACCTAAGTTAGTACACAGACAGAAGCACACAAATGTTGTGAAGTAGCACGGGAAAATACATGTAGGGAAGAAAAAGGAGAGAAGACTTGGACCTTTTAGTTGGTCTTGGCTGATGTCTTGTCGTAAATTAGGAGTAACATATAGATGCTACTCAGTTCTCTTGTTTGTGTATTTCAAAATCCACTGTCCCATCTCCCCCGGTCACAGGCGGGTGAGGGGAAAGCACTAGTTCTTATCTTGGGAACAGCTTCTCCAAAGTGAGTGTTAACTCCTAGCTTTCTGGAAACCTGGAAAAAGCTTTTCCCAGAGTTACACAACCAGTAGGGAGCAAAGCCAGGTCTTAAACCTGGTATCTAAAACATCCCTGTTTTTAGTTGAAATCAGAAAGATAAAGGCCTGTGCTAAAGTGTTACAAGAAGAATCCCCCACACACACAAAAGTGTAAGTCATTCCCTTCTCTTAAGAAATTTATTCCTATAAACTAATTGGAAAATTAAACACTTACGACTTGGTCACTGTTTAGCATCCCACCAAGTTCCTCATGCTGCCACTCAGGATACCACTGCTGCTCAGGTGTGAAGGAAAGAGTTTTCACAGTCCTTGATAATGCTTTGATTTTCATGACTACAAAATAACCTGAGTTGTCATGATTTTTACCTCAAAAATGCACTGATCCTGTTTTGTTTTTCTAGACGCAGAGACCTAGAGATTGAAAGACCCATACTGGGCCAAAATGATAACAGATTAAAAACATTAAAGTAAGTCCCTCAGTTTCCCCATTGAATTGCTTAGCATCTTTGCCTATTATGTTTAATTCAGTGTTCAGTGCAGTGTATGTGCTTATTTGCTCTCTCCTTCTGTACCTAGGTGTTCTACTTTATTGGTGGTAGGAGACAATTCACCTGCTGTTGAGGCTGTGGTAAGTGTGTCTTGATGTTGTGAGGAAGATGATATTCAAATGTAATAAAATGTTTATTGCATACCAGAAAAATTGATAACGATTAGCTTATGTTATTTTCTGGTTGCACATATCAGGGTTTGCTCTTTGTTAGACATTTTGGAAAAGTAATTCCTCATCACTCACTAGGTTTCATCAGATGGGATCATTGTTGCCCTCGATTGCTTTGTGTGGTGCATTTCACCTTGTGGCAAATAGTACAATGAAACACCATTTATTTGTTGTCAGATTTCTGGCAACCTCAGCTTTGCATCTGCAATAGATTACCACCAAAAATCCAACAGGCTGGAAGGCTGCCAAGAGCCTGTGTGCTTTTTTTCTACCTTCTGTCGAGCACATAGTATACTGATAATAGTGATATATACTTATTATAGAAAATATTTAAAATTTTTTAAATAGAATGGGGAAAATCATGATCCCATTACACAAATGGTTATCTTTGTCTTTAACATAGACCCGAACTATATTCAATATATGAGATTTAGAACCTAACTACTTGACAACTTTTTTTTTCTTTTTTGAGGTACTACAGATTGAATCCAGGGCCTTGTGCTTACTAGGCAAGTGCTCTACCACTGAGCTACCCCACAGCCCTTTTTATTTTATTTTGAGACAGGGTTTTGGTAAGTTGCCCAGACTAGCCTCAAACTTGGATTCCTCCTGACTCAGCCTCCTGAGTAGCTGGCACTAGAGGAGTGTACCACCATGCCTGGCTACTTAACACTGTTGGTAACATTTTTCCATATTATAAAGTCAGTATGTTTGTATAACATTCTGTCTTGTTAAAGTACATTATTTATTTAACTTTATTCTCCTATTGATTATTTCTGACTTTACATCACAGTTAATGTTGCAGTTGAAATGTTGCTTATAAAATCTTTGAATCTTTGGTTATTTCCTTGGGATAGATTTTCAGAAGTGGAATTAATGTGTCAAAAATTATAAACATTTGGGCTGAGGTTGTGGCTCAGCGGTAGAGTACTCGCCTAGCACGTGCAAGGCCCTGGGTTTGATCCTCAGCACCAAATAAGAAATAAGTAAAATAAAATAAAGATATTGTGTCCATCTACAACTAAAAAATAAATATTAAAAAAATTATAAACATTTATAAGTTTTTAAATATATTTTGTCAGATTCCTTTCCAAAAAAGAATTGCTCCAATTTATTGCCACCAGCCTGTTTCACTACACTGCCCACCACTGATTTTTATATATATATATGTTGTTGATTTGATCGGTTAAAAATGGCATCTCTTGGCTGGGGTTGTGGCTCAGTGGTAGAGCACTCGCCTAGCACGTGTGAGGCCCTGGGTTCCATCCTAAGCACCACATGAAAATAAATAAACAAAATAAAGGTATTGTGTACAACACTAAAAAATAAATATTTTTTAAAAATGACATCTCACTGTTTAATTTGCGTTTGTTTATTTACAAATAAAGTTGACAGTTTTTTATAACCATTATATCTTTTCCTTGTTTAACTTAACCAAGTACCTATGTGAAATTAGTTGATTTTCTTTGGCATTCTTCACTTCTTCTGTATCTAGGACAAAGTGTTAAAGAGTAAGGCTCTTTGGAAATGGAGTCTGATGATTAGTAGCACAAGAGCCAGGCATGGTGGTGCATGTTTGTAATCCTATAGGCTCGGGAGGCTGAGGCAGGAAGATCGGAAGTTCACAGCCAGCCTTAGCAACTTAGCGAGGCTCTAAGCAACTCAGTGAGACCCTGTCTCAAAATAAAAAAATAAAATGGGCTGGGGATGTGGCTCAGTGGTTAAGTGCCCCTGTGTTCAATACCCAGTACCACCCCTCCCATCCCCCACAGGAAAAAAGTATAGACATGGAGAGAAGGTTTGGGGGTAGGGTAGTGTTTGTAGGGTTAGATAGATATGAAAATACAATATGTTTCCTTCTCTCAACTTCTCTGCAAAACTTTCTGTGTCTGGTATAAAATAGCTTGTGCATAGAGGCAATAACCCTCAACTCCCAACCTTTCCCCTAAAAAGTTCCCCAGACATATGATAATGATTCCAGTTCATCAAAAAGTAGTTCTGTAAAGGTCAGGCTTTTCTGTCTATAAAGGTGATGATGATGCATGCCATGAAAAAGAAAATACCCAGAATCAGTATTGAGGGAGTATTTCCATGAATCTTAGATCTGAAGTTATTTGTCTTTCGAAAATTGTGTGGAGCCAGACGCATTAGTGCATACCTGTAATTCCTACTACTCAGAAGGCCAAAACAGAAGGATTGAGAGTTCAAAGTCAGGCTGGGTAACATAGCAAGACCTGTCTCAAAAAAAAAAAAGTTGGACTTAACTGCAATATTTTCAATTGTTTTTCAAGATTATAAAGTAGCCACATAAATAAGATCTCTTCTTTCTGATTTTCCACTTCCCAGCGTCTATAGAGAAGAACTTCAGGAGTCACTGCTGTAGCACAGCTTAGATAACTTTTCTATTCACTTAAACCTGTCTCCCCTGCCACAGCATTTTAGCCCACAGGTAGTGGGATTTCCAACGAAGAAGCAATGAGAAACTCTGCAAAACCTAGGCAGGATTTGCCAGCTCATTTATTCATTCAGTATCATTTTTGAGCACCTCCTATTTGCTCAATGCTATGGAGGCAATAAGGTGGAATCTCTGTATTTGGGGAGTTGGAAGAGTAAACATGTCAGCAACCAACAATTAGAGGCTGAGTTGTAGCCTCGTAGTACCACACTTGCCTGAGTGAGGCCATGGGCTCGGTCCCTAGCATGCACACAAAAAGATGATCAGTGACCTACCAGATACTAAGACATCTTATAATATTATAGAAATTACAACTAGTGAGCCAAGGAAAACATGGTTTATTAGATTAAAATCAGACTTGTTAATTTTTCCAGAAAATATTTATAGCGTATCCACTATATTCTTAGCACTGTGCCTGTTAGGAATTCAGTTTCTAAATATTAACTTCTAAGTTAATACATATTCATAGTAAACTTGTGCAAACTCTGACTCAGTGGTCCTGGCATTTAGATCATTCCCTGATTTTAGAAGAGTTTTGTATACCTTCCCATCAGCAGTCCCCAGATCAAAAGTTCAGCTGAATCCAGTTACTGGTTCTTGCCTAGGTGATTTTAATTCCCTAACTGGCTAACTGCCTCTGTAGTCTGTTATATAGACAGCTACTCTCTTGAAACAACTCACATCCTGTCACCTTCGAAACCTGTGGCTTCTTGCTTTCTTCAGAGCTCCAGCCTGCTCCCAGCCTTGCTTCAGTGGGCATCCTCCCTTCACACTTGCCTCTGTGACCCACTTGGGCTCTGTACATTCACGCTTTCTGGAACTGTGGAAGCCTTCAGACACCAACTTCTGCTATTTATTTATCTGTAGAAATTCTTATTGTCTTTCACTGTCCACTCAACTAAGTTATAAAATTTTTTAAAGTGATTTCATTTTGCTTTGTACTGTATTTTTTCACCCCACTGAATTCTAAACTCTTAGCACAGATTTTATGTGTGTATTCTTTGCAGACATGTAAAGGAGAGATTCAGTTGATCAAATTAGCCATAAAACACTTCTGAGGGCTGGTATATAGCTCAGTGGTAGAGCTCTTGCCTAGCGTGTGCTGGACCCTGGGTTGGATCCCCAAAACCCCCACATGCCACACCCCCAGAAAAACACTGCTGAACCTGTGGGGCTGGAGATGTGTAGTTAAATGATGGAGCTTGAGCTTAGCACACACAAAGCCACTGGGTTCAATCCTAAACCGCCCCTCCCCCACCAAAAAAAGAATCACTGAACCCAGAGACACTCTCCTCCCCAAAACATTTTCTTTTTTTAGGTTCTTGGCTTCATGGATATAAGGGTACAAGATGCCAAACATGTAAATATACCAGGCTTTAATACTACATTGTAATGAATGCTATAAGAGAAAGATCACAGAGGAGTTGAGCTTTGGACTAGAGAACCATAGTCAGATTATAAGGAATGGCAGACCCACTATACCAGGGCCCCACAGAGGAGTGAAAAGCAGAACCAGGGGAGGTGCACAGGGCTCAGTCATTATGGCCAGTTTTGCTGGGAAGGCATCAAAGAGATCCCAGGAGGAGAGAGCCAGTTCACAAATAAGTAAGATACCCTGCCCTCAGGCTGTGTAGCCAATAAAAAAAATCTTTAGATTCAGTATATAGTTGTTTCTACTTGTATCAGATTCAGAAAATGAAATTAGCCAGAGTTTTAGATCTGTTCAGATATAAAATTTATCACATAAAATACATCATATGGGCCAAGGATGTTATTTCAGTGGTAGAGCACTTGCCTAGTACATACAAGGTCCTGGGTTCAATAACCAGCACTGCAAAATCTGAAAAATGAAATTTATCATATATATCTTCCAGTCGCCAAACTGAGTGATTGGTCTTGCAAGATCATTCTCATGCCAAGCTATTTCTTTTTTAAAGCCATTCATAAAATTGTTTTCTCCCCCTCTGCCTTTTTTTTTAGGTTGAATGCAATTCTCGTCTCAACCCTATAAATACAACTTTGCTAAAGGTAATATATCTTCTTCCTTCACTGCCAACCACTTGTGAGTAGATTATACATGCTTCAAATTTTAGTATGTTTGTTAGAACCATTGCCCCAAAAGAGGTAAAACTTCTTTTTCTATTAGTTTCTGATGCTCTCTTCTTTCTTTTTTTTTTTTTCCCTCAATATATATTCTAGTTGTGGGGCTCGGGGTGTAGTGTAGCTCAGTAGTAAATTGTGTGCTTAGCATATATGAGGCCCTGGGTTCAAAAAATTATATTTGTATACACTTACATATATACATGTATACACATTCTCATTGCAGAAAATTAAAAAATAGCTGGGCACAATGGTGCATACTGTAATTCCAGCAACTCAGGAATCTGAGGTAGGAGGATTGCAAATTCAAGACCAGCCCAGACTTAATGAGACTCTGTCTCAAAATAAAAAGGACTGGATATATATAGCTCAGTGGTAGAGTACCCCTGAGTTCAATCCCCAGTACTAATTTTTTTTTTTAATTTTTCATAAGTCTGCTGCCCACAGGGAACTGCCTCTGGTAAAATATTGGTATCTCTTTGCTATATGTTTTTTATCATTAAGATCAGAGTATATTTAGCAGGCACAATGGCACATGCCTATAATCCCAGCTACTCTGAAGCTGAGGCTGGAGGATCACAAGTTAAGGCCAACCTTAGTAACTTAGTGAGAACCTGTCTCAAAATAAACAAGAAAAACCTGTAATCCCAGCAATTCAGGAGGCTAAGGCAGGAGGATTGCAAGTTAAAAGCCCGCCTCAGCAAAAAGCAAGGTGCTAAACAACTCAGTGAGACCCTATCTCTAAATAAAATACAAAATAGGGCTAGGGATGCGGTTCAGTGGTCAGGTGCCCCTGAGTTCAAAAGGACCTCAAAAATAAATATAAATAAATAAATAAATAAACAAGAAAGAGGAGGAAGCTGGGTTTATAACTTGGTGTCAGAGTACTTCTGGTTCCATTCCCATACTGATGGCGGGGATGCAGGGGGAGCCAGGCACAATGCACACACCTATAATCCCAGCAACTCCAGGCTGAAGCAGGAGGATCACAAGTTCAAAGCCAGCCTGGGCAACTTAGTGAGGCCCTGTGTCAAAAGAAAGGACTGGTGGTGTGGCTCAGTGATAGAGGACTTCTGGATATAGTCCCTTATACCATGCACACACACACACACAAAAAAAAAAATTTAAATAAGAGGATGTTTGTTGTCCTATATCTGTTTTCTTCACATTTATGACATAAACGTTTTCCCATGCCTTAAAAATTTCATAAACATTATTGTGTTATGAGAATTAAGGTAATAGATGGAAATATTCTACACATGCTAAAGCTTGCTGAATAGGTAAGGAAGCTTCCAATTACAATTTTTATAGTAGTGAGAGTGGATGCATTTTCTTTCTCTTAGAGCAAGTAGAAAGTGACTCTTACTAAATTTCTAAGGACAATATCAAGTTTCTCCACATTTCAAATGTATCTCAGTTAAGAGTTCCAGCCTAGCATTATCTCAACCAGTTTTCCCCAAGCCTCTGTTAATAGGTAGCTAACCTCCTACCTGGACTACTGGAGAGTTAAATGCTGATCTTCTTTGCTTACTGATTTTTCAGTCTGAAAGATCTTTACCTTCTTCTGTTTGTCTTTGAAATGTGCTTAAAAGGGAAGCATTGTCACCAGAAGTAGCCCATAGTTTCTAGAAACAGACCATGAGGTTAATGCTCTGAAGTGACCAAACTCAGACTGTTCTTGGTTCCAGATCTTGATGGGCTTGTCTAAAATATGAATGAAAAGTTTGTGGTTTCAAATTAGAATCAATATTTAACAGCACCAAATTAACTCTGAAATAGCCAAAGATAAGATTATTTCTGGGCAAATATGCCCATCTGCTACAGCATGGGGCAGAGTGGATAGCTCCTATGGCTGACTGAACTCTGATTCTCAAGCAGTTTGATATGGGTATCACTCTTAGAAATAGTTACATCCAGTATCTTCTCCTTGCATATAGGAACTGTTTTATGGTTCTGTTCAGTTTTCAGCTTTTAAACTTCATGAAAATTGGGGCTGGGGATGTGGCTCAAGCAGTAGCGCGCTCGCTCGCCTGGCATGTGTGCGGCCCGGGTTTGATCCTCAGCACCACATACAAACAAAGATGTTATGACCACCGAGAACTAAAAAATAAATACTTTTAAAAAATCTCTTTCTCTCTCTCTCTCTCTCTCTCTCTCTCTCTCTCTCTCTCTCTCTCTGTCTCTCTCTCTTTAAAAAAAAAAAAAAACTTCATGAAAATTTAGTTTATGCCAGTTTGGTGGTCTATTTTATATTTATTTGTCAAATTGAATGTTTGTTTCTCATCTTATGCCTGGAATTTTGAGGAGACTTGTTTCTTGTTAAGAAAGTTTTAATGTGTCATTTAAACCCTGGGGTTCATGTCCCTTTTAAAAAACAAAAAGGTTGGCTGGGGATATAGATCAGTTGGTAGAGTGCTTGCCTCGCATGTACAAGGCCCTGAGTTCAATCCCCAACACCACCAAAAAAAAAAAAAAAAGGGCCAGTCAGCCTATGTCCTACAGTGTCTGAAAGTGTACAACAACTGGAAGAGAAAGGCCTAAGCTCCTATGTAGCCATTATGCCCTGTGCATCTCCAAGAGCTTATTAGAAATGCTGGTTCTTGAACCTTACCCAGATCTATTCAGTCAGAATCTCTAAGGTAGAAACCCAAGAATCTGAGGGCTTTTATTTTTGTTTTAAGTGGTGCTGGGATTTGAACCCAGGATCATGCACATGCAAAGAAGTATTCTACTACTAAGCTATACCCTAACCCCAAGAATCAGAGTTTATTTGCTTTTTTAATATTTATTTTTTAGTTGTAGTTGGACACAATACCTTTATTTATTTATTTTTACGTGATGCTGAGGATCGAACCCAGGGCCCCACACGTGCTAGGCAAGCGCTGTACTGCTGAGCCACAACCCCAGCCCAAGAATCAACAAGTAGTTCTGATGTATACTAGCCAGCCTATAAGAATAACTGGTGTTAAGGCTTATAAAGTAAAAAGCAACCACACCATATCCTGCTAGAGAGAACAGTGGCACCAAATGAATTGGTGGGATTCAGCTTCTGCTTTTGATCAGGAACTCCCCTGAAAACAGTATATAGAGTTGAACGGGGACTTCAAAATCACAAAGCACTGAGAAGTCAAGGTCACCCTGTTTGAGTACTCCGTAAGTAACATTCTTCAGGTAGAGAGAGAACAGGGTTGAAAGTTTAGTAGCTTATTCTGTCACCCTGCCATGAGCCAGAAAGCCAGATACAGCTTCTTGGGATAATTAAGGACTGAGTAATTCTTTCCAATTTCTATCTAGCATTTCCATCTTTATAAAGAGTACATTGAAGGTTGGGGTTGGGGCTCAGCAGTAGAGCTCTTGCCTGGAATGTGTGAGGCCCTGGGTTTTTGATTCTTAGCACCACATATAAATAAATTAATTAAATTAAAGACATTGACAACTAAAAAATGTTTTTAAAAAAGTACATTGAGGAGATGTAAACCTATAAACAGTTGAAGAATCCAAAATTCAATATTGTCCTGTTTGAACGGACTGGGATGTTTAGAGCATTTCCCTCAAATGTAAGTCCCAGCTGACTTACAGATTTTTCCTCTTCTAGATGGCAGACTGTGGGGGACTGCCCCAAGTAGTTCAGGTAAGAAATTTTGTTTTTTAAGAAAAAAAAGCACCCATTCTGTTCTACCTCTTTGCCTATGAAAAAAAATAATGTGTTTTTGTTTTATCCCCCAGCCCGGGAAGCTCACCGAGGCCTTCAAGTACTTTTTGCAGGGAATGGGCTACAGTGAGTAGTACACAACTTTCTGTCTAGTGAAGATTTATGTAAGATGGGTCAGTTTGACATCTGGGAGGCCATAATTCTTAGGGTACATCCTCTGGGCTAGCCAGCATTGACTAAAGTAGAAACTGAAACGTTTGTGGAACATTCATTTGTGCATATATATACATATATGCACATATATAATAATGCACTTATTAAGTACATTTGTCAGGCAGTATATATGCTTAACCTAAGAGGTAAGTTCTGTTATTAGTCCCATTTTATAGAAGAGGAAACTGAGGATCAAAGAAGCTAAGCACATTCCCAGCATAACAGTGCAGCTGCAGAGCCATGGTTCAGACCTTGGCAGTCTTACTGCAGAGCCCACACTTTTAACCACCGAAGCTTAGCCTGTCCCAGACATTAATCAGAAGTTACAATTTGCATTTGAACTTAGCTGGTTAATAACTGGCCTAGAGAAACAGAAGTGAGACTCCAGAAGAAAAGGGTGTAGGGGTAGTGTCCTCAATGAAATCTGTTCCACCACAAGAGATGAACTTGCAGAGTATCTTAGAGCAAGTGAAGGATGTGTCCATATCATATGCTGCTGTCCTGGTCTCATGTATTATGAGACACCTGAGCCTTGTTGCAAAAAAATCCACACTTGCTCCTTTCTTGGAGTCATAAGAATAAAACCCTTTCACCCAGATATAGAGCTCTTTACCCAATCAGGTGATTTTTTTCCCCCCATCTTTGGTATCTGTGGAAATGGCCATTCGTGAGCTGCCTGGGCAGCTGCTCTGATCAACTAGACCTGGGTAGAGCCCTGTACCCGCCAGGCAGACCGTGTGTGTCTTGTCTAGAGTTGCTGTGTCGTCCCATCTGTGAGTCGCTACCAACCGAGCCCACATCCATGGCCCTCTAGCTCACTGGGAGGGCTAACTTAGTAACCCATTCTTATCCATTCCTAAGAAACAGCTGATCTTGTAGCTCATTTCTGATCCAAAGTAGGGTGACTATGTAGAATGGAGGGGAGAATAGTTTGTCTAATTGAGAGAAATGACATCCAAGATGATACTAAAGTGACACTCAACCTCTCCTCTTCTCTGGGACCATAAAATAAACTGATCCCTTGCTCAGAGTATTCTGTCTACTAGGCAGCCAGGGTTGCTACTTCGCACTCTAGATCACTAACCTTCCTCTTCCTGTGTCCATCCTGCTTCCAGTCCCGTATGTGCAGCTCAGTCACCTCAGCACCGAGTCAGGTACCTTCCTCTGTGCTGGCCCTACCCGCTCCCCGCCATGCTCTCCTGGCTGCATTGGCTGCCTGCAGCATGTCCGCAATTTTTCTGTGCAGTGAGAGCCTGATAGAACGTGGCTCATTGTGCTCCAAGAGTTTAGCCTACTAATCCTGTCCTGGTGCTCCAGGAGGAAGAAAGGATCCAGTTATAATGCCTAGGCCTCCTCTCATCTTTCTAAATCCAGGGTCACAGCAGCAACTGAAACTTGATAGGCAGGGCCCCTCTTCCGCCACCTACTACTAATCTTTGAGGTAACCTCCAGACATGGGAATTGAAGGGGTAGCCTTGACTCTAGGTAGAAATGTTAGTACCTATGCCAAGAGAACTCCACAGGTAATGGCATCTTTTGACTCCAGTATTGAAATGACAGCCGGGTGGAGGCTGGTGCCTGAGGTTGAGAGGCAGGGAAGGTCCTGTCCCAGGCCAAAATAGAAGAACATTCAGGTCAGGGCTGGAGCTGGGGCTCAGCGGTAGAGTGCTCACCTTGCACGTTCGAGATCCTGGGTTCAATCCTCAGCACCACATAAAAATAAATAAGTGAAATAAAGGTATTGTGTCCAACTACAACTAAAAAACAAATATATATATATATATATATATAAAAGAATATTCAGGTCAAAGCAAGGGCAGAACAGGAGTCTGAATTAAACATCCCCAGAGCGCTTTCCTCTGAGGCAATCTGTATAGAGATCAGTTCCTGCCCCACCTATCCTGGCCTCCACCATGCCTTCTACACACTCTAGACAGCCAGGGTAGCCTGTGGACACGGATGGTAGTCTCGTTGTATCGGGCTTGCACTGTGTTTGTGAAACACCTTCATATATGTGTGGTCTGTCTTTCTTTTCTTTTGATTTAGTCTTGCATGTACTGCAGGTTTTGGCTTTCCCAAAGCCTCCCTCCTAATCACTGAACTGTGTGGGCACAGCTAAGAATCTCTACTCTGGTCTTAGGGCTTCCCTTTCTTCTGCTGACTAGAAGAGCTATTCCAGCCAAACCCAGAGAATTAAAGCAGCCTTGCATTCAGTCACTAATCTAGAGCAATACTAGAGAGTGGGGATGGCTATATCTTGTCCTGGGTGTCATTGTAAGTGGGTTGGGAAAGCTAAACATAAAGCCTTTGGTGAAACATGTAAATTAGCTGAGCTTAACTAGGGCTGCATCTTCTAGTCCTCTTGGTTCTTTGTTACAGTACCATCTGCCAGCATGACCCGGCTTGCCCGATCCCGAACCCACTCAACCTCGAGTAGCATTGGCTCTGGAGAAAGTCCCTTCAGCCGGTCTGTCACCAGCAATCAGTCAGATGGAACTCAAGAATCCTGTGAGTCCCCTGATGCCCTGGACAGACACCAGACCATGGAGGTGTCCTGCTAAGCAGTTGCTCCTCCCCGGACCATGCAAGTCTACCCTTCTTCAGACGACACTCCATAATATAACATTTCATCCCGTAAACTGGCCTCCTCTATCTTTAACTCATGCATGGCCACTGAACCTCTCCTAGTAATCTGGATTTATCATTCTCTGCCCACCTACCCTTTTTTTGTATCTTCCAAGAACCACATTCATGCCATTACTGTAACATTCCAGCATCTTTAGCTGATCTGATCTCCACATCTTCTCTTGCCAGCTTTTTCCTATGTTCCCCTAACGATGTATCTGATAAGATTCTTCTATCCCAACTCCATGTGTGTGCGAGCACGTATGTCTGTGTTTGTGTGTGCATAGTTCTGTGATTTTAGACATGCTTCCTTGTGGCGCTTCTGCAAAAAAAGAAAAAGGGACTTTTTTTTTTGCATTCCCAATGGTGTTTTTGAGGAAAACGTGCAGAACAGATATTTAAGTGGGGAAAGCCACTAGATTCTCATCTGGTTCCAAATTGGTCAACAAGATTTGCAGAGTGATTTCTGAAGAGAGCAGCTCTGAGGAATGTGGAAAAGCATAATTACTGTTTGTACCAGTGATTGATTGTGACCAATGGTAGAAGTGTTGCCTGTCACATAGAGAGGTAGGCAAAGGGGCCAGCCACCTCCCTTTGTCCAAGTGGATTCACATATGCATCCTATAAAGAAAAGGGAGGGATATATCCTACTAGGAGCCCATGAACAATGAGGTTCTAATACAACAGGGAGTTTACTCCAAAGCAGTGGCTTAATTACTAGATCTTAGCACAGAAAGGTGGAAAACAAAATGCCAGGCCTCCGCTCTGCTGTCGCTGAGCATCTGTTACCATTTATCAGACATCTACACATCTACAAGAAGTGCCTCCCAAGTCTGTGGTGGAGAGTGGTTCTCCATTCCTCAGTCCCAAAAAAGGGAGAGGTATGGCCGAAAAATATGGTGAGGACATGAAAGGGGCAAGAGCAATGGCCATTAACACAATTTCATGTTGAGTAACTGTAGCCATGATTTAAGCAGACTCATGGAAGCCAAACTAAATGGATATAGAACCCACTTCTGAGAAAGATTCTTAATCCTATGAACTCCCTTTTTATAGAGGGGGGAGGGGCCAGTCTGTAAGGGCAGTCACATCCAGGTAAAATTGTAGCCTCCATCTGCTGTCAGCAAGGGGGTCACTGCTGGGAGGAGGGTGAGATAACTGTGGAAATCCATGCCATAAACAGGATCCCAGCTCTCAGAAGCAGGAGATGCAAGCTCAGGGTTACACAGTTCCGAATCTTGAGAAGAGACTTTTCAGACACATTGTTTGCTTTCTGCCAAGATAAGGAATGCATCACTCTGCCAGAGTACAACTTTTTACAAATTATTAAATAAAGCTGTATATGTCTCATTGTTACCTGATTGCTGGTGTTATTTTTCTCAAGCCACTCACTGGGGCTCAGGGAGTGGCTGAATACTGTGTGCTGGTTCTATGCTCTACATTTTCACATTTGTGATCACTTATCCTACCCAGTAACACTGTCCATTTATAGGGAAGAAATGAAGCTTCAGGATAATTTGTCCAAGGTCATACAGCTAGTAAGCGCAGCCTAGACTAAATCCAAGTCCACCTGACAATGCTGTTGTTGATGGAGGAGAAGCTGAGGTCTGGGAAAGACATTCCACATCTTGGCTCTGCCATGTGTGTGGAATTGCTGGATCCCACCCATCAGGTAATAATCTGCAACCACTTTTCTGGGGTTCTTTAAGAGACTAGGCTGTGTCCCTCCATAAATGGCTGAATTTGCACCCATCAAGAATAATTTCAAGCCAGGTTCAGTGGTGCATGCCTGCATGTAGTCACGCTCCTCAGAAGGGTGAAGGAAGGAAGATCACGAGTTCAAGACCAGTCTGGGCAACTTAGCAAGACCCTGTCTCTGAATAAATGAATTGAATGAATGATGGAAAAGGGGGATCTGGGGGGTGTAGTGCTGTGGTAAAGTGCATTCTTAGCATTTGTGAGGCCCTGTGTTTGAACCCAGCACCAAACAAAGGAAAGAAAGGCTCACATACTTCATCAAGTTCTCATGGCAGCCCTGCAAAGTGGGAGCATCTGTTTTACAGACAAGGAACAATTCAGAAAAGTTGAGTGATTTGACCAAAGTCACCTAGCTTGAAAAAGTAGTTTCTACTTCTTCCAGAATCAATGCATTTTTATGTTTTCTTCAGCCTTTCATTGAGCACCTTTAATAGGCAAGGCCCTTAGCACCTTCCAATAAGTTGCCTTCTGTTGACCCAATGAAATGGATACAGAAACAGGCCCAGAGTTAGTTTACAAATGGTCAAGAAACTAATAATTGACTATATGGGAAAGTTCCCTTTACTCCATTCAACACTTCTGTGACAAATTTGAGGGGTTTTTCCCTATACCAACTAATTCTCAACAGTTTGGACACCAACTAGGTATCTTACAATTCAATTAGAACACTATCTAGAGTTAGTGCAGACCCTTTAGTCCCACAAGCACCCCCCACTTCACATGCCAGTTGGAAGTAGTAAATCCCATGTTACTCTCACTTCTGTACAACTAGGGTACAAATCTGATTCACACAGCTGTCTCCTCAGGCTTGGCCATGTGTTTTGATGGCTCACAGAACTCAGGAAAGGTGTTTACTAGTTTATTAAAAAGGATAAGCCAGGCATGGTGGCACACACCTGTAATCCTAGTGACTTGGTGGGGGGCGTGGGGGCTCATGAGTTCAAAGCCAGCCTCAGAAACTTACTGAGACCTTGTCTAAAAAAATAAAGAGGGCTAGGGATGTGGTTCAGTGGTTAAACACCACTGGATTCAGTCCCCATTACCAAAAACAAAGAATGCTCCTCTCCTCTGACTCTTTCAGCTCTGTTACCAAGTCCCTGCAGAGATACATATCAAACCAGCCTTCCCTGGGAGCAAGGGATCAGCAGAAGTGAGCTCTTACTGGCAAGGAACCAGATAAGGCTGCAGAGTCTGAACTAGATTAAGAGCATTTCAGTACAATGCAAGTTTTTGTGTTAAAGAGCATCTGTCTCCAGAAGTATCAGGCCCCTTGAGGGGGAGGCAGCAGGTGGCTGCATTAAATTTTAATGAGCTGTGGGCAGTGTAGTTCTGTCAGATCCTTTATCCTACACCACAGATCCTCAAGCTAAGACATGCATCAGAATCACCTAAAGTACTTTTGAAAACCTTAGGGGGAGGGTGGTGTTGTGGCTCAGTGGAAGAGGCTTCTCTTGCATATGTGAGGCACTGGGTTCAATCCTCAGTACCACATAAAAATAAAGGTATTGTGTCCATCTACAAATGAAAATATTTTTTTTTAAAAAAGCAACATTCCTGGGCCCTGACCTCAGCATTTCTGATTCAGTAGATCTGATGGGAACTGAGGATTTGCATGTCTAACAAATTCCCAGGTGATGCTGAGGCTGCTGATCTGATACCATACTTTGAGAAATACTGTTGAGATTTCCACCCAATACTGGGGATTGAACCCAGGGGAATTTTCCCGCTGGAGAATAAACCCAGGACTTTAAATATGTTAAGTACTTTGGTGGTAGAACTACCACTGAGGTATAGCGTCAGCTCCCAGATCTTGCTCTTTAAAGTGTAATTCCCAGACCAGCACAATGGATATCGTCTTGGAAGCCTGCTAGAAATGCAATATCTCAAGTGAGCACAGTGGCTCCCTAAGGAGCATGGATCCCTGTCCTATCCTATGATCCCAGGTACTCCGGAGACTGGTGTAGGAGGATTGCAAGTTCAGAGTCAACCCGGACCAATTAGTGAGACCCTGTCTCAAAAAACTAAAAAGGATCAAAGAGCAGGGGGTGTAGCTCAGTGGTAGAGCACCCCTGGGTTCAATCCTCAGTACTGCCAAATAAAAAATATTTTTTTTTCTTGTACCGGGAATTGAACTTGGGCACTCGACCACTGAGCCACATCTCCAGCCCTTTTGTTATATTTTACTTAGAGACAGAGTCTCACTGAGTTGCTTAGTGCCTCAATATTGCTGAGGCTGGCTTTGAACCTGTGATCCTCCTGCCTCAGCCTCCCGAGCCGCTGGGATCACAGGTGTGCGCCACCGTGCCCATCTAAATTACTTATAAAGAGAAAAGAGATGCAGAAAGAGAGATGGAGAACAAAAGAAGATAAAGGGGGAGAGAAGAAAAAAGGAAGGAGGGAGAAAGAAATGCAAAATCTTGCTGCCCACAGTGTTGTACACCTGCAATCCTAGCTACTCAGAAAGCTGAAGCACCAGGATATAAATTTCAAGCCTAGCTTGGGCAACTTGGTGAGGCCCTGCCTCAAAAAATAAAAAGGACTTGGGATGTAACTTAGTGGTAGAATATTCCTGAGTTCTATACTCAGTACCACAAAAAGAAAGAAAAATGCCAAAATTTGAGCCCCACTTCAGACCAACTAAGGCAGAATCTATAGTTTAGGGCTGGGGATGCAGCTCAGTGGTAGAGCGCTTGCCTAGCATGCATGAAGTCCTGGGTTCCATCCCCAGCACCACAAAAAAGTAAAGTGTGGGAAGGCAGTGCTTCCCAAACTTACCAAAGGATTCTCTTGGAATATTTAAAGTTTAATTCCTAGGCTTCTCCTCTGACAACCTAAATTCAGAAGGCATGAAAGGATCCCAGAAACAGTAGTACTAAAATTAAGTTGCTTCAGTGATTACTATGGTCAGGCCAGCATGGGAAACCCCTGCTCATTTCTCTCAGACCCGGACCAAGCCACAAAGCCAGAGAAGAATCTCCTGCTCTGGGATCATGCAGAGGCAGCCACTGCTACCCTAGAAACAGGAACTTGGGCAAGGTGGCTCCTCGATGGTCTCTGATGCCGTCAGAGGAAGCGAGTGGTTGTGAGAACCACAATCTGCAGACAGGAGCCAGAGCTCAGAGGAGGCATGCCTGTGTCTGTGACAGTCACAGATCCCTAGGCCACCTGCCTTGTCCTGCTGTGCTGGTGAGGATTGCCCAATCTGGGGTCCCTAAGGAGCCTGGGTCCCTGTCCTATCCTGGAGTACAAACTGCTGATCACAAGATAGATGCTGAACTAACCCACTCTGATATCAAGAGTCCTTCTGAAGTTCCTCTGAGTCTGAGTTCTGGGTGGCCTAGGACCAAGGACATTGGCAGATTTCCAGAAGGGACCCCCAAAGCCCTAAGCTGACCAGCCAAAGCATGGTTTTAGCTGATGTCCTGCCCAAGTCTCTGATGACAAGAAACTAGTAAGTATACTTGCTTCTGTTTCCTGGTGGGCTCAGCATAGATGAGGAAGAGTGATGCCCTCCAAGGCTGGGAGTGGGCTTTATTTACAGTTAGGAAGCAAATGTTCCAGGAGGAGGGGAGGTGGTTCTACTGGGACTGTAAGAGGTGGTTTCTGGGACCCTGAAGGAACTAAGATCCCCTCTCCCACTTTGACCACCTCCTAGAGATTTATTTTATTCTCCAGCTTGTTTTTGTACATTGCCTGTTCTAGACCCCTCTTGGTTAGTTACTTGTTGTGTGACTTTTGGCCCCTCTCTGGGCCACAGTCTTTCAAATTCAGTTGAGTAAGAGGGCTGTGGATTATCCTCTCTGAAAACACCCCCAGCTGCCAGATCTTTCAAAAGAGTGAGATTCTCAGTTGAAAAAGCAGGAAAGGGTTTGGGAGTGTACCTCAGTGGGGCCCTGGATGCTGTTCTCAACTCCAAAAAGAAAAAGAGCAAGAGGCCCCCCTTTGGCTTAATCCAAATTCCTCATTCTTACCCCCACTGCTGAAAAATGATCTTCACAGGCACCGAAGAGTGGATAGTAGTCCAGCTCTGCACTAACCAGCTGCCCAAGCACGAGGTCATCCTCTGGGGCCCTGGTCCTTGCATCTGAAATGAGACTCAAGTGGGATGATCAGAACAAAGCCGGGCAGTGTGCTGATCTCAGCTGCCTTTTACTCTTTCCTGCCACCCACTCACACAGGTCCCCTAGAAAGTGCCTAGCACACAGTAAGTTGCTGAAGTATGTGTGGTTAATGATTCGATTTCCTCTTATAAATATTGCAGCCCACACCTCCTTCTCCTGGGCCTGCCCTGCTGCCACCTGGTCTTCATATTGCCTCAGGGGCTTCCTGGCCTGAACCAGATCAGGTGGAGAAAGCTGCAGACCCAGCATGCATGCAGCTCCCTTATTGCCCTGGCGCCCATCCCCCAGCCCCACCTGCAAAGAAGTCCTCTCTGAGTTGATTGCAGTTGATGATTGTGGTCTTGCTGAAGGAGGGGAAAGGAAACTAAGCCTTACTGACACCTGCTCCATGCCAAGCTCCTCCCCTTCTCCTCACAACCCTGTGGAGTCAATATTAGGATCCCTGCTTTGTCTAAGGACACACAGCTCAGACCAGGCAAGTCTGAATAAGTCACCCATGCTACCCAGGTCAGATGGAAAGTGAAGCATTTGTCCTGTACCTCATACCCAAGGGGTAAGGACGGGCTGGGGCAGCAGGGACTCTGAGGAACCAAACTGAAATGGTGCCCTAGCGCTTAGGGACCCAGCACCATCTCACTCCAACGCTGCCAGATCCAAAAAGACTGAGTAGAAAATGTGCCAAGTGATGGCCCATCTTGCTCCTGTCTCTGAACACTGAGCTCTGCATGGAGAAGCAGCAGCAGACAAGTATTATGATTCCCATTGATGACATGGGACTGGAGAACAGAGGGCAGGGACCTGGCACAAGTATTCCATCCTCAAAGGCAGGATCTTTACTCCTCAGAGAAGACTGGCCCAGGAGGCCACAGACGTGATGGGCATGGTTTTCATCCAGGCAATGTGGGGTTCAAAAGCAAGGAAGGTGACCACCATGTCACCACACCATTTTGTGAGTTCCCCTCTCTAACTCCCCACCCTTGCTAAAGAGCAAAAACTCTGAACGCCAGCTAAAGGAAAACAGACTGGCATAATCTACTGAAAAGCATAAAACCATCCAAGAAAAAATACAGAACTCAGCCCAGCCCCCAACATTTTGACACAATGTTTGGAAAGATCAGCATCACTCTAGAACCTGGGAATGTGAATTATTCTAAGGACAAGACACCTGTCCAAAGAAATAATCATTTCTGTTCGTTTAGTTAACGGGTATCCAGTGCCTTCTGTGGGGGTCTCACTGGATGCTGGGGAAAGGAGCATGGAACTGTAGGATAATGGCAGATCAAGCACTTGAGTGTGAGGCTGGGGATGTGGCTCAGTGGTGGAGAGCTTGCCTGGCATGTGTGAGGCTGCAGTTTGATCCCCAACACCACAAAAAATAAAATAACTTTGTAAGGAACACAACAGGAAGTTAGAGGCTTCTGAGAAGTGACATTCAGGACAAGAGAAAGGAAATGTAGGGCCTGGGTAGGTTTTTCAGGGAATTATCTCTAGGAGCCATATGCTGGGTGTTGTAATCCCCATTTTTCAGATGCGGAAAAGGAGGCACCAAGAGAGGAAGTAGTCTGACAGCCCGTTGCCCAGAGCCTTGCAAGTCACTGCCATACAGCCTCCCTGGCATCTTACTCTGCCCTGTAACACCAACAACAACATGTCCAATGTCAGCTCTGATTGTTTTGACACTAATCCCCAAACCCTCTGACTCCACTTGCCACCCTGACCCTAGCTGTGGCTCCTGGTGTGCCTGGAGTGAGCTCACTGTCAGGCCCCTTTCCCTTCCCATACAGTAGTAGAACATGAGCCCACGTCTGAGAAGTGGTTCCAAGTGGGCCACGGGAATTCAAGGGAGGATCAGCAAAGTCTGAGGATTCAGGAAGAGCTGGCTAGGAAAGGGCAGGATACAGATAGGTCTGAAAGGGGAGGAGAGGGCAGGCCAGTCATGGAAGGCCCAGGAGCAAAGAACTGTGCATGGCTGCAGCCTAAAGGAGAGGGAATGCAGAGAAAGCAGCTTCGCAATTTGCAGGCAGCCTTGGGTCTACAGGAGGAGGCTGGAGTCTGGTCCTGGGGAAAGGCCATTCCCCTAAGCTCTCCAGGAGATCAGCAGGGCCCAGTAGGAGAGAGATGGGTATGGGTATCTGAGACCAGAGCAGGAGCCATATGCTCTGTCCCCATGGCAGCTTCTCTTTCAGGTCTCCCTGGGTGGTGTGCTTCTAACAGTTCTGCTGAGGAAGGATGGGAAGCCTGCCCAGCCGAAGGAAAACCCTGCCAAGCCCAAGTTCCAGCCCTCCTGTCCCAGGCCAAGGACCTGAGCTCATGCAAGCAGGTAGGCTGTGGGGCCTAGGCAGGCAGCATGAGGCTGCACAGTCCCACACTCCACTACCTCTGTGCCTTCATGACAGGCAACACCTGCACATCACTAGGTATAGACCCAGCACCTACTGTTCTTCTTAGTGAGCCATGAAGGTGGGGGCCCTGCTCCTATGGAGATTACTTTGAGGTAGAAACATTGAACCGCCAGATAAAGGAGAAAACATGAGGGGCTGGGGCGTAGCTCAGTGACAGAGCTCAAGCCTAGCATGCACAAGGCCCTGGGTTAGATCCTCAGCACTGGAAAAAAAGTAACTCAGTTCCTCAGTCACATGAGCCACATTTCAAGGATTTGGTAGCCACATAGAGCTAATGGACCTTATTGGAAAGCACAGAATATAAGACATTTCCAACACTGCAGAAAATTCTCCTGGACCTCAGAAGAACTGTGAAATACTTGATGCAAAATCAGGGCTCCCTTACTGGTGGGAAAAATAAAATAGCACCTGCAGTATGTATCCTGAGCCTATTACCATGATTCTCTAAGACAATTCTGACTAAAAATACCAGCTTTTAAAACAGTTGGGCAATTTAAATATCCTAGAAATTTTAGTATTTTTACATCAAAACCATGGCCTCTGGTCTATTTCTTGTTCTTTGAAACATCCCATAAATCCTTTCTCAAATCACATCCTGATTTGGAGTTTGGATAAAGTATTAGGGGCAGGGGCTGTAGCTCAGTGGTAGAGCGCCTGCCTAGCATGAGGCCCTGGGTTTGATCCCCAGTACCGTGAAAAAATAATAATAATAATAATTAAGGAAAGAGAACCAATAGGATGGTGGGGGAGAGATATCCATTGTTAGGAATCAGCTCACGTGAGTATGGGATTGTCAAGTCTGAAGTCTGCCAAGCAGGCTACAGACCCGAGGGGAATCGGTGCTATGGTCCTGAGTCCAATGGCAATCCACAGGCAGAACTAATCCATGTCCTCAAAGGACCTTGCGCGTCTCTCATAAGGCCCTTGATTGAATGAGGCTCACCCATGATAATCCACTTTACTCAGTCTACCAATTTAATTTTTTTTTAAGAGTATCTTCACAGCAACATCTAAACTGGTGTTTGGCCAAATATTATCTGGGTACTGTGGCCAAGCCACAATGACCCATAGAATTAACCTCACAGATAACAAGATCACTCCAAGCCAAGCCGTGCTTCTAGAAGGACGTGGGCAATTAAGCTGGACTAGAGACTGCAAAGCTAAGATGTCTGGGTATCAAGGTTTGGGTAGGAGCTGTCTCCAACCCCAAAATTCCCCTATGGTGCAGGGCTTCCTTCCCTCTCCTCTGCCTGAATCCCTTATTTCCCTAATGGTTGCCTCTCCCAGGCCCACAGGCCTTGGCACCCTAGGTCCCAGAGGTTTCCTGTTGGGTCAGGAAAACAGTTGCCTCCTTGTAGCTACCATCTGCACTGAGAGGCCCTGCAGAAAGAGACCTGCAAACCACAAACCTCCACCTTGGCTTCCTCCAAGCCTAGCCACAGGCAGCGTCCTGAGGCTGCTCTGAGACATGCCCAGGGCTACTGAGGGTGGTGACCACTCCTGTTGTACAGGGCCCTCCTTGCCTGTGGGGCCCTAGGTGAGCCAAGCTCTCCCTGGCATAGTATCTCCAGGGAAGGAGGGAGGAAGGAAAGGAAGACCTCTCAGTAGATCTGCCCCTGTCCCAGCCGGAGTGTGAGTTTGGGGTCACTCCCTCCAGGAGCTATCTGTCCATCAACTTAGCCTCCCTCTTAAGCGTACTGAAGCTCAACTGCAAACCAGTCCTGTGCCAAAACCTGAAGTCACAGCAATGAACAGGCAGGCATAGTCTCTGTCTTTAGGGACAGTTGAGCCCCAGAAACAAACCGTGAACCAATAATGACAGTTGTGTTCAATTTGGCAACTGCATGCTCAGAGAGACTCTGAGATTGTGCGCAGAGGGCCAAGTCAGGGCTGGCTTTCTGAGGAGGTGAAGGGTGAAAGCAAGTCAGCCAGTCTGAGTGGGGACAATTGTAAGAGGGTCAGGCCTTCCAGAAACAGGAGGGGCCCTTCCAGGCCTCTTTGTTCCATTCTTGCCGAGTGACCTCTGTAAGACTTGTGTTGTTTACTCAAGCAGCAGGCATTTCCCTGCACCATGGGCTGGCTAGGCTTGTGCTACAAAGAGCACTCAGAGACAGAGAGACCTGGTTCCTAAGGAGCGCCCCCCCCCCACCCCCCCGAAGGGATCTATCTCAGGGGGTGTCTTTGAGGACATGTGGGAAAATGTTCATTCTGAAATCAGTCTCACTCTTCCCTTGGCCACCCATGGCAGAGACCCTTCAGCCACCTCCCAACCTCTGGGTCCTTGTCTGTCCATCTGTGTCTGCCTCTCCCTGTCTAGACCAACTCCATCTCAAAGGCATCTCAGAGTCCTCAGACCTTAACTCCTCCAGGAACATCTAGGAGACCAATGAATTTTTCTTGCTGACCTTGTGCTTTTAATAGCTTAATGCATTTAGGTGCTAACAAGTCTTTCAGGGACCATCCCTAGAAAGGATCAGCAGGGTAGGATGCAAATGAAGAAGTTTCCAGAAACCACTGAAGGCAAGTTTTTCAGACCTAGAAGTCCCTGCATACATAGTGGGGTCTTGTTAGACTGGATTGGCTGATCCCTGAGGTGGGTGGGGGATGTTAGTCATGTGCTAAGAGAGCTACTTGCTGCTTGAGGCTCAGCCTCAAAGTTGGGCCTCCTGGCTACCACATCCTCAGGACCATTCCCAGGCCAGTAACTCCCCTGTGTAGATCTCAGCCTCCTAAGGAGATGGAGCCCCTCCTGAGAGATACATTTCTACCCAAGCCCTTCTCCTCCTGCCAGGGTGGCGTGGTGTAGAGTCTGTGTTCTCACTTCTCCTCTGAGTGCCTGTCAGGGCCCCAGACCTCCCTGCACAATGGGGTTGAGTAGAGAGGACCATCCAGGAGGGCTGACTGAAAGCCCTCACTGGGCTGGACATACAGGTGCTCAGAGAGTGACAGTGGGGAGGAGGCCTAGAACTTTGGCAGCCCCCAACTCCAGTGTGGCACCTGCTCTGGGTTAGGCCTGGAACAGGGGTCTGGAACGGCCTCTCAGGGGGCAGCATAGACCTCCTCCTACTGCCCTGGGCAGCACAGCACCCTAGAGTTACAGAGCCTATTCATATCTGTCAGCTCACAGGCCCCTCCACAAGCCTGAACAAGTCAACAGGACCAGGAATGAGGGGAGCAGTGGGGTCCCACAGTGGAAGGGAAGGTGGCTTTCACTTTCCAGTCCTTTTCTCCTGTCTCCCAAGAGTGAGTGCTCAGGGCTGGTGCTCGGCCATGCCTGCCCCAGGGCTCCAGGGACCCAGGCTCAGCTGCTAGCCTGGCCTGAGTTTCCTTCCCCAGTTTTCAGAGGTCATGCGCACTCATAGTACCTGTTGCATCATCAGAAGCTAAGACCACACTCATACTTGCTTAGGGTTTCTAGGAGTTTTGTTTTTGTTTTTTGTTTTGTTTGTGCTGGGGATCAAATCCAGGGCTCTATATGCCAGACAAGCGCCCTAACACTGAGCTGCATCCGCAGTCTAGGGTCGTAGGTTTTGAGTTTCTGAGCAGCAGAATTACTTCATCAAAATCTCTGTGAAGAGCGTGGCACGGTGAATATACAAGGGATTTTAATATACAAGGGATTTTAATATACAAGGGATTGAACCAAACAGCACTTAACCACTGAGCCACATCCCTTACCCATAATCCCAGTGGCTCGGGAGACTGAGGCAGGAGGATCACATTCAAAGCCAGGCTCAACAACTTAGTGAGGCCCTAAGCAACTTAGTGAGACCCTGTCTCAAAATAAAAAAGGGTAGGGGAGGGCTGGGGTTGTGGCTCAGTGGTAGAGCGTTCGCCTCACACATGCAAGACCCTGGGTTTGATCCTCAGCACCACATAAAAAAAATAAAAAAGTGAAATAAAGGTACTGTGCCCAACTACAACTAAAAAATAAATATTAAAAAAAAAGGGTAAGGGATGTGGCTCAGTGGTTAAGTGCTGTTTGGTTCAATCCCTTGTATATTAAAAAAATCTCTGTGAAGAGTTGTATATAAAAAGGAGTCATAGGGGCTGGGGTTGTGGCTCAGCATGTGTGAAGGCCTTGCCTAGGACGTGTGAGGCCCTGGGTTTGATTTTCAGCACCACATATAAATACATAAAATAAAGGTCTATCAACAACTACAAAAAAAAATTTAAAAAGGAGTCATAACCAGGAGCCCCATTCCTCTTTGAACTCAGAAACTCAAAACCTTCTTCTTGGTACATGAGCTTGAAGCCCCCATGAGGACCCCAAGAACTACCTGGGCACCCCCAAGCTCAACAGAGCCCCCTGGAAGAACTTCAGACTCCAGGTGGCCTTCCTGCAGGATGCCCGTGAGAGGGTGAAAGAGGGAGCCAGACCCAGACCAGATGTCACTAGACCTGATGTCTGGAAGGAATGCTGACCAGGAGAGTGACTGTCTATCTCTCCATCCAGAGAAGAGCAAGGCCACAGCTGTGGCTCTGGGCAGTTTCCCGGCAGGCGGCCAGACTGAGCCGTCTCTGAGACTAGGAGAGCCATTGACCATCCTGTCTGAGTAAGTCTGTGGGCTCTGGGCACCTGGAGATGCACTAAAAGGGGAGAGGTGCTTCAGAAAAAGCCTGAGGCCTTTTCTGAAAACCTCGCAGGTGATCATGGCCCTGTCTGGGGTTTTAAGCAGCTTGACTACCTGCAGGGAGAGACAGAGGGGCTGGGGCCTTGGAACAGGGAGTTTTGGCTCATGCCATCTGCTAGCCACCCTGTCCAGGAGGGGTCGGGACTGGCTGGTGGAAACAGGTGGCTGCAGGAGTCAGCTGAGAGGATCCGTGTGAACCCCAAGTAAGCAGTCCCAGGGTCTTGACCCTTCTGAAAGAGGTGCCCTCTCTGCTTTCTCTTTCAGGGATGGAGACTGGTGGACAGTGCTGTCAGAAGTCTCAGGGAGAGAGTACAGTGTCCCCAGCATGCACGTGGCCAAGGTCTCCCACAGGTGAACACACTCTCACCCCTGCCTGCCTTCGGGGATCTCCTTCCCACAAGCCTGCTCCCCCATGGCCACCCCCAGCCGGACACTGAGTGAAGCTGGGGAGTGAGAAGCAGGCCCAGGCTCTGCTCGGCAGGAGCAGAGAGCAGCAGATCCCAGCACCACTGGCCCTGAGACAGGAGCCTGGGGAGGTGGCTGGGGAAGGCCCCCCAGAGGAGGTGTCCTGGTCAGGGGCTCTGGAGAGCATCCAGGATCTAGTGGTGGAGAGTGTGAGAGGCATATGTGAGAGGTGGGCACAGTCTATAAATGTCTTGAGGCAAAAAAAATGGGGACAGTTCTTAAGAAGATGAGGACTTGGAAAGGTAAGAGGAGAGATACGGGGTGCTGGGGGACTGGGCCATGGTGGGAGAGAGGCTGGGATCACCCTAGAGGGAATGAGGCCTGCAGCAAAAAACACCAACTGACCCCTTGGTTGTTCTCCTGCGCCCCTATAGCTAGGACAAACTGGAGGGGATCTGAGTCCCTGAGGCCTGTTCTTCATGGTGCAGAGAGAACTGTGAGACCCAGAGTGCAAGGGAGAGAGGGGGCTGCACCAAGGTCACACAGAGCAGTGGAGGGTTCCAGTAAGATCTTCATGGCCCATCCCCAGTCTCCTTGCCCTTCCTCCTCCAGGTGGCTGTATGAGGGCCTGAGCCGGGAGAAGGCGGAGGAACTGCTGTTGTTGCCTGGGAACCCTGGAGGGGCCTTCCTCATCCGGGAGAGTCAGAGCAGGAGAGGTGGGTGAAAGGCCCCAGCCCTCCTGTGTAGAAACAACCTAGGAAAGAGTCACTCAGGAATGAGGGTAGACCAGGGCCTGCCCTTATTTGAACTGACTGTGACAGGGTCACAGGGTTCTTAGTCCTCTACCTCAGTCTCCCCGTGGAGCCCCATCCAATATATCTTTGCCTCTTTTCTCCTTCCCTAGGGAGCTCCCTAGGTTGACCTCTTCCAGCCCCTCCTGCTAATATCTTGGCCACAACAGCAACCCCACCCCCGCCCCCATAAGCTGGCTGGGGCAGGAGGATGGCCCCTGTGCAGCCGCTGGGAACAGGAAACCACAGCAGTGGTGCTGATGGGGACCGGCCCTGCAGACCAACAGGGTGAGCCAGCTGGAGAAGCCACAGGAAGTGCTCTGTGCTCAGTTACCCTACCCTTTCTCTGGCCTGGTTCAGCCCCAAGAATCAGGTGACTGGCCCTTGTGGTCACTCTGCCCTTTCCAAAGAAGACACATATACAAGAGAAAAATGGTCAACTGTAAAGGAGAAAGCCCACAGGAATCCATAAAGATCTTCAAGGATCCACATAATTGCTGGGATTAAGGTCCCCGTAGGCAACTGCAAAAGGGGATGCCTCAGTGTGCAGCTCTCATCAAAAAGGGAGACATATAGGGGCTGTGGATATGGCTCAGTTGGTAGAGTGCTTGCCTCGAATGCACAAGGCCCTGGGTTCAATCCCCAGAACCTCCACCTATATATATCTATAGATATCTATCTAGATAGATACATAATAATGATAAAATAATAACAGCTGGGTCCCCTCACCCAGAGGGGACCTTGGCTGCAGGGTGGAATCACCAGGGGAAGATTTAGAAACTCTGGATGCCTGCAAGCCATCTGTTTAATTTCTGATTTAAATTACTCAGGAATTCATCCTGGGCTTTGGAAAATGAAAGTGTGCCCCCACCCCTAGGGGACTCTGAGGTACAGCCAGCATCAGTGAGAGAGAGCAGGGCAGGATTTAGAAACTGGCAGTGCAGGCCAGGCTGGGCAAACCCGCTGCAAACACCGCTGCAGGCAACTTTTGTTTGAGGTATTTATTTATAAGTAAATGTGTCCTGGGTCACAGTGTAAAATGTTATTCAGTGGTTTGTGGTTTAAAAAAAAAAAAAAAAGTTTTTGAAAGCAAAGTTCTAGGGGCCCAGGCAACATCATGAGATGGTGGTTCTCAGATCCCAGCGTATAGGAGACATCAGGGAACTGGTCAGCAACATCAGTTCTTGGGCCTTGCCACCCACCTACTGATTCAGGCTGCTGGGGACAGAGGCCAGAAATATGCTTCCTTTTTAAGCTCTCTGGATGGTTCTGCTGTTCTCTTAAGTATGAAAAAATAGTTCTAATCTAGGGAATTCAGAAGGAAATAAGGAGACAACGTCAGGCTGGGGGCGTGGCTCTGTGAAAGCTCCTGCTAGGCTTAGACAATGTCTTTTACTCTCACCTTATGCATCTTGTGTTTATACAATGAGAATTAACTGTTGACTGAGTCAGTGACAGCAGAATTAGCTTTCCTGGGGCCAAAGTCCAAAGACTGGAAGGGTACTCTGCAGGGGCTGTAGTCTATGTAGACCAAGGTGGAGGGTCTGGGACCCTGAGCTCCCAGGAGCAGCAATCAGGCCTGAGGACGAGGAGAGGTCCTGCATCTCCCCAGAGTCCTCGGACTCACCTAGTCTTGCTCTAGGCCTATGGAGAGCCTTATTCTAGGCTCAAGTAGGGCCCAAGACCTCGGTTATTAAGCAACTTTGTGGAGATCTCAGGACTGTGCCAGAGGTCAGTGCCGGGGTTAGGGACAGGTCCCAACAGCACCCCTCACTTCGCCTTCCTGCTGTCCTTATGCCTGTTCTGTGTTGGGTACTTTAAGGGAGACTGATGGTTTCTGCCCCCTGGGGGGCTCATCAGTCTCCTTTATAGACGTAGAACAGGCAGGGACATCAGGAAGGTGAGGTGGGAAGCACTTCCTGAGCCTCTCCTCTGCATTAGGCTTGCTAAGTCAGGACTCAGATCCTCAGGCAGCAGACAGGGAGGTCTGAAGGTCAGTATCCTTGAGACCATCAGCTTCTTGGACATCTCAGCAGGGAAAGTTCAGGCAGGTGATAGACCTACTTGTTACACACGGCTCCTGATCTGATCCTTCACACCTCCTCCCAGCGTCACTGGAACAGCTGATCCCAGAGGTCCTGGATATGACTTTGCCTAAGCCCCCAAAGCTTTCCGGAATCTGGGACCTTACACGTTCCCTTTTTTCCTGGTGGGTCCCTTTCTAGGCCCCGCATGGCTTCCACGGTGCCCTCTGCCCACCGGGTGTGCTGTGAGTACTGGTTCTTTCCTCTGCTTCCTCCTGACACAGTGTCCTCTCCCAGCCTGAAAAGCCTCTCCTCCATTGCTTCCCTTGCAAACACACACTTGTCCTTCATAACACATTCCAAGTCACCTCCAGATGCTGTTTGTCACACTTTGCTCTCCCGTAGCATCCTACAAAGACCTCTTCTGTAGCTATAGTAAATTTATTTCTTAAAATCTGAGTATATTATCTGATGAGAAAGACACAGGAACTAAATATCCAAAGCAAGGACTACTAGTGGAGTGAGATGGCACACACCTGCAATCCCGGTGACTCGGGGTACTCAGGAAGGAGGATCACAAGTTTGAGACTAGCCTTAGCAACTTAGTGAGACCCTGTCTCAAAATAAATAAAAAGGGCTGGGCATACAGCTCAGAGGTAGAGTGCCCCTAGGTTTAATCCCCAGTACTGAAAATAAATAAATAAATAAATACAAGAAAGAAATGAGGACCGTTAAAGAAAACCCTGGATGTGGGATATGCTGGCAAGACAGCTCTTATTTCCCCAGAGGATGATGATTTCATCATACCTGTGTCTGGGCCTGGTGCAGTGTCCAGCATATAGTAAGTGCTCAAAAGATGTTTACTGAATAAATGAGTCAGTAGGTGAGCATACCTATATATGCAGACAGGATGGAGAGCTGGGGTAGACTGCACCCCAACTGGGAAGGTCCAGGTAGTTTAAAGCATCAGACTGCCAAGGACAAAACCACAGTTGCCCCCCAGCACACCCAGCACGTGGGCCTGTGTGTTCCCAGTATGCTGTCTCAGTAGGGTCTGGTCCCAAGAGGCCTTCTGTACCCAGGGCTAGCAGATCCAGGAAATGCACCATGTGTTTTTGCTCCAAACAATGAAATGATAATAAGCCTTCAAGGACCAGTCCCATCTGTGCAAGAGGGTGCACACCTACAATCTCAGCAACTCGAGAGACTGAGGCAGGATGATCTAGGCCAACCTGGGCAATTTAGTAAGACCCTGTCTTACTAAATTGGGGGGATTACCAGGGATTGAACTCAGGCACTCAAACACTGAGCCACATTCCTGGCCCTATTCTGCATTTTATTTAGAGACAGGGTCCCACAGTGTTGCTTAGGTCCTCGCTAAGTTTCTGATGCTGGCTTTGAACTCGCGATTCCCCTGCCCCAGCCTCCCGAGCCACTGGGATTACAGTTGTAAATGCCTGGATCCAAATTTTAAAAAGGCTATAAATATAGTTCAGTAATAGAGCATTTGCCTAACATGGGCAAGGCTCTGAGTTCTATTCCCAGTATTGCAATATAAATAAATTAATTAATTAATTTAAAAAAATCATTCCCAATACCATCTGTGCTTATAAATAGCAATAGGAGTGTAAATGGTGACAAGGGGTCCTTAAAACTACTTGTAGCCATGGCTCTGTCTGTGTGATTAATGGAGAAACATTCATTCAACAAGCAGATATTGCACATTGACTCTCTGCCAGGCGCTATTCCAAAGGGCAGGGATTCAGCAGTATAAAAAGCAAGATCCCATCAGACACAGTGGTGTACACCTAAAATCCCAGCAGCTCCAGAGGCTGAGGCAGGAGGATCCTGAGTTCAAAGCCAGCCTCAGCAACAGCGAGGTGCTAAGCAACTCAGTGAGACCCTGCCTCTAAATAAAATACAAATTAGGGCTGAGGATGTGGCTCAGTGAGTAAGTGCCCCTGGGTTCACTTCCCCATACCAAAAAAATATCTGAAAGGATGGTATGCCTTGGAGACACAGTAGTGAGCATGGGCAGCACAGTTCATATATATAGTTATATATTTTCCCCCAGTGCTAGGTCTCAAACACACGGCCTCATGCATGCTGGGTAAGCACTGTGCCATTGGGCTACACCCCCAGCCCCAGCAGGGGTATTACAATACGTGAATTTGAGTCCAGGGGGTCTGGGTTATAAAGCAGATGTCCTGGGGCTGGAAGAGAGAAGCAGGTATTTGGCACTGGCTGGGAGCATGCATCACACAGGAAGGACAGTGGGATACCAGGCAGGTGGGGTGGCAGGGCCAGTCACAAATAGCCTTGATAGGTAAGCTGTTCCCACAGAGGGTTGGGCAGAGCTGGCCTTTTATCCTGAGCCCACCAGCCAGATCTGCAGTGTATCTATCACCCTTTCTGCTCACGCCACCAGCACTGGGGACTGAGCCCCACATCCTAGCCCTTTTAATTTTTAAATTTGTTGTTGTTGAAACAGTGTGTCACTAATTTGCCCAGACTGGCCTCCAATGTGATCCTCCTGCCTCAGTATCTGAGTAACTGGGATTGTAGGCAAGCGCCACCTCTCCTGCCCCATTCTGGTTCTATTAACTGTGGTGACTCTGATCAGAGTCATGGCTGAAGAACCATGCCAAGGGTGTGAGGTCTTGGTGACTAATTCGGGTGGATTAGTTAGCCTTCGGGGCCCATGTTCAGGTACTTCGCCCTTTCTCAATTGCACAGCTTTTCCAGGGTCACAGCATAGCTCCAGAAGAGACTCCTCTTCTTCTTTTTAAAAAAATATTTATTTTTTAGTTGTAGTTCTACACAATACCTTTATTTTTATGTGGTGCTGAGGATCGAACCCAGGGCCTTGCCACAACCCCAGCCCAGAAGAGACTCTTCTTA